CTATTTACATCATCAGCTTTACCCTAATAAGCTAACAATTATGGATTACAGAACAATTGTGAAAAACTAATGTTCTACTAAGAACATTTCCAATATATGGTATGCTTGACCTCTTTTCTCATTCAACATAACAAGAAAAAATTAATTTCTAAGCTTTCAAGCACTGGCATTAGGTGCAAGGATTCCAGCCAAATTCAAATCACTTAGTTACATGGTGGATASTTGCATTCCCTCTGCACTCCAAAACAGACATGCTATTCTTCATTTTCTACCTTAAAAATAGAATTGGACAGAATTATTAGTGCACAATAGCTGTCCTATACAACTAGAGTAGTTGTATGTCAATAGCAGGCAAAAGGAGCCTAGTTACATTACAAGCATTCGTTAATAATGCTAGACAAAAGCTGTAGTGAAAGGAGATAAGACAAATGGTGCCCAGTTAATGAGCACTTCTGGAACGATGAAGATAAAATATTAAATGATGAGGCCTTATGACTCATTTACCAAACACTATTGAAAATACATCAGGCCATTGTATATAAATAATGCATCCATAAAATGATAAAGGCATAATTTATAATTGGCTGGAAAATTCCGGTTTCAGTAACTCTATTTGTATCTCGTAGAAACATTATGCCAGAGACCAAATTCAACTATACACATCCAAAAATAAAATAAAATAAAATAAAATAAAATAAAATAAAATAAAATAAAATAAAATAAAATAAAATAAAATAAAATAAAATAAAATAAAATAAAATAAAAAAAGTTGAGCTTTACTTACTACCTAACTTTGCTTTATTTACAACGGACTATACAGAATTTGGAAAAGAAACTGAACAACTTTCATCTACGCACATCAAGTGCATGTCCATTGTGTGCTTGTAGGAGAAATGATTGCAAGGAAAAGTGGAATTTAAATTTTGACCATATTCAATTATGACACCAATACACATGTGGGGATGTGGATAGTTACCAGGAGTGACTGAAAATATCCTTTATCAGGGTGTTTAGCCTTTTGAAGGTAGAAGAAATGGTGAGTCAGAATCTTGAGGTTTATTCAAGCTTTGGAACAAAGATTTCTGTCCCCTTTAGCCCTTCTGTTCCATCCCTGATGGAAACCGCTTCTTTCTGACTAAGTATTTGTGCCAGCTCATTCCTTTATGACTGTTTACTCAGTTCCAGCCTCTAATCCTCARTCTTTAAGCCCAGTCCCGCTACTTTTCCCAGCTACTTGTAGTCTCCGATTTTGAAATTGTATTCTGCATCCCAGAATCTTCCCCTTTATTATRGAATAAATTTACCATACATTTATTAAAGGAAAATTTATTGCTAAAACAGMGAAGAAACTATTAAAGTCAATAAGATGCTCAAAAATATCAATTCAGTAGTCTTTAATATAAAAATGTCTTTAATTCTCCATTCCTTTGTTATGCTATCTTCTATAGACTTGCCTAAGSCTACAGGCTAATCCCAAATTTCCATAGTAACTTACTTTGTCCTTAAGACATGCCCTTGTTACTCAGACCAGTTTTAACAAGTCTTCCAGATTTTCTTTTGCTCATATGAATTCTCATTCTGCTACAGTGTTGCTTTATTTCCATTGTTTACTTTCAGTTGTTTCTAGTTATTTTGATACTTTCTATATAAAGTGGTCCTTTGTTATTGAAGTGGTTGAGCAACATTTCCTACCTCAAAGCCACAGAATCTCTTCAAGGATTGTCATTAATGTCAATGTTTGCACACACTTTGCATGCACACAAAAAAACTGGTTTACTTACTAAATCTGAAACATTACAAACCGAAACAAACAGCATCAATACTTTGACCTTAATCACAGTATATACCACTTTCCATTACAAACAAATCCTAACGAATATGTCACCGTGGAGACACTGGATATCTAGTTCGAAAATGAAAAATTCTTTAGCTGCAGGAAAAAAAAAAAATTAAATGCAGCAGTGGCCTAACTTGACTMAACTGAACCATATTACCTTAGAGGTAACAAGAGAATCATGGCTCTGTGGAATTGTTTTCTTCCTTACTTATCTTCTCCCTTCCTCACCAGTTTGGAAAAAAAAAAGAAGCCAGCCATAAGAATAGATTTGTTTCTCATATGGGAAGCATTTTGCCCCATTTTATCTTTATAGTCTCAAAACTCTATTGTACCCTTGCCTTAATCTTTCCCAGGAGTTTAATGAGGTTCATTCAAAATGCATCTTCACATTCAAAATTCACTTTGCAGCACAGAAAATAATGCTCTCAGCTGCAACGCTTTTCTTGAACACTGTGTACCTGGAATTTTTCAGACTGTCTCATACAGTTTCATCTGTGTTTGAACAGAGGTAACTCAAGCATTTAAAATATAAACTGTGGTTACTGCTAAGTAACCTCTTCTTTGGCCCATATTGTACATGGGCGCATTAGCATTGTGAGAGTTTGTTCTACAAGCACCTGAAGTGGGGGCTCTTGCAGGACTTGCAGGGTGAAGTAGATCAGCTAATGTGCATCTTCAGCTGGGTGTAGAAAATCCTTAAACCACAGTGGCTGGGATCAGGGGAATATTCTGTGGGGAGCAACTCCATCATTTATAGTCATTTTGAATATTCCTGTGTGATAAAKGACTAAAGTTTACTGATGACTTTTAAAATAAAATTCTTACTCTTTTATTTTTTTGTGCATACAATGGGATTCATTTATTTTTATATTCACAGGATGCCAGACTAATATCCACAAAAAGGGCAATTTTGACTTCTTTGTTTTTCACATGCAATTTATGWCAGGAGGCTAAAAGGAATGAGATGTAACAGCTAATCCATGGCACCTGAATATCTGCCTGTGTTCATCAGGTTGATGAACTATTTCTTCAACCGACATAAATTCAGCCTACTGACAATTCTCTCTTTTCGATGGAGGAAGACAATAAATACATTTTTTAGTGGAAAACAAAACAACAAAACAAAACAGATGTGATCTACATCTCAGCATTAATATCTAAAAGTTACCTGACATATAATCTTCTTTGAGAAACCAGTGTGGAATTTCCATTACACTCCCACTTGCATCCTTAGCAGTGAAGTATAAAATGAGCAAAATATAGAACAAACAAACATCTTATAAAATTGCTGGTGTTTACAGAAGTGAAGAATTAGGAAACCAGTTACCTTACTTCTTGTCTGTGAGTATCTTCCTTTGAACACTCTGAGGACTCAGCTTTCACAATGCAGAACACAGACATCTTTCCTAAGTTTTTAAATGCAGGGGAAAAAAAGAAAAAGGGAAAAACCTTAGTACAGCACACATTATGTGTGCTGAGATGAYGGTAATAAAACTTGGATTGGAAGAGCATGAATTGTGAGAGAAATGCGGAATATCTCTCATCTAGATTTAACTTCGGTAGTGTAACTTGCCTTTGCATCAGCAAGAGGCTGCCTCCTCGCTCTTAATTTCTTTCATGCYGTTCTGACTAGTGATGGAGTAATGTAGTAATCTTTTTTTTCTTTTTGTCTTTTAAACAAACTTTATTACTTTGTTTTTATGCCACTAGCTCTCTATTGACCTTCTCATGACACAAATGACTGTTGAGTTATACATTGACCCTTATAAAACTCAGCAATTCATGCTGCTTTAAAGCACGCCCTCTGTGAAGCCCAATGACTTATTTTGAAGACTTCCAGGGATACAGAGTTCACAACATTCAAGCTGCTTGGGCCAACTATTAATCATTGCCACTTCTGAAAATTACCATTAGTTCACTGCCTGGCTGTGTATTGGAAAGGTAGGTGAAAATTAATTAAATCAGGTGGATCCCCATTGCTTCACTTTACAATCAGTAGCAGGATGTGCTGGTTCCTGCCTCAAAGCCACTTACTTCCCATCATACTATTTCGTGCTTGTGCAGCTAAACCATACAAAGTTAAGACATGCAAGAGACTAAGATGACTCAGTATAAATAAAAGCAGACACGAATTGATTCGCGGCTATTTCAATCCGCACGCCGCTCCCCAGGCTGCCTTGTCCTGAGGCCTCGCATGCAGCTGTGCTGGCACGAGAAGCCTCGGAGCCTCCTTGCCACACACTTCCGTGGGGCCACGCTCTAGTAAATGTGCAACATGCGCTTAAACTGCCACGGAGCCTTTATTTTCCAGCAGCTTTTGCTCTCCCTCCCGCTTCGCCTTGTGCGAGCCCAGTAATTTGTGCAGTTGTACAAACTATGGCGGGAGAATTGCTCCAGATCAATTCTCCCGTGTTTGTTTGTTCGTTTGTTTATTTTAATTTTCCTTACAGATTATTCTTCAGCCTGTAGAGCTTCCTGCCCTGGAGCACTCGCGCTCGCACAGGGCGGCTTTCGGCAGGAGCAAAGCGGGACTGGGAGGGTCAGTAGTGATTGAAACAGGTAATTCACAAGCAGCTGTCACGCAGCCCCGCAGCCAGAAGGACGTGGCGGGGACAGGCGCGGGGCGCTGCGAGAAGCCGCCGGCCGAAGCCGCGAGCCCGGCCCGAGCAGGACAATATCCACGGGGCAGCAAATGACAGCGACTGACAACCACCTGTAGCTCCTGCTCTTCCCCAGCCCCTTGTGCTCAGGCGCTCARCCCCAGCGAAACCCGCCTCATCCGGTGCGCGCGCCCCCTCCCACCCCTCAGCGTCCAACGGCCGCAACGGCCGCCGCGCGGCGGGCACGCGCAGCGGGCGCGCGCCGCTCCAACGGCGGCGGCCGCGCGCTCACCTTGCTTCGCCGCTCCCCGCCCCGCGCAGGGCGCATGCGCCAGTCCCCCGAAGGGCGGCTGGCAGCGGCCGCGGGTGGGGGCGTGTTTGGTTCGCTCTGCGCACGCGCGGTCCCCGGTCGCCGTGGCAACGGGACGCGGTGCGACGCGCTCGCGCTCGCGGGGCGGTTGAGCTGCCGTTACCGCCGTTGCCGCCGCCGTCGTCGCCGCCGTTGCCGCGGTTGCCACCGTCGTTGTCGCCGCCGCCGCCGCCTCCTCCATTTGCCTCCCGTAATGTCGGAGATTTTGTGTGAATGGCTGAACGAGGTGGTGAAGCTCTCCCGGAGCGTGGGTGCGTGGGGCTCCCGGTGCTGGAGGGAGGCAGGGTACATGGGCTCGGGTGTGGTGTGGAACGGAATAGTGGGGCACCACGGCACGACACGACACGACATGACACAACACGACACGACATTATATGATGGGTGTCCTGTTCTGCTGCTGGGCCGTGGGGCTGATTCTGACTGCTTGGCAAAGGGACTCRCCCCTTCCCTGGTGTCCCGATTGAGTTTTACTCTTCAAGCGCATTTTCAGGGTGAAGCTGGTGACAATTTTCCTCTAAGCACAGTGAGCTCAAGAAATGTGAGGAGCTCGACCCATGCTGGCTAACGAGGACCCCAGCAGTTAGGAGTATGAGTGTAGGTACATCTGCAAAGCAGGGCTCGCCTGGCATGGCGAGTCTAGTGCCAGCCTTGTCGGAGCTTCCTCCTGCATGGAGGGAGGAACTTTCCACACTTAATCTCCTTTCTTCTTCATCTGCAAATGAAGAAGGTGACAGATCCCTGGAACAGGCTGCCCAGGGAGGTTGTGGAGGCTGCTTCACTGGAGATCTTCCAAACCCACCTGGATGCCACCCTATGCCCCATGCTCTGGTTGCCCCTGCGTGAGCAGGGTGGGTTGGACTAGATGGTCTCCAGAGGTCCTGTCCAACCTCAACCATTCTGTGATTTTTTTATAGAAGACTTAGTAATTGCAACAGATAGTTGTTCCCACTGTCTTGATGACAATTATGAGAATGTTTTCTTTTTAACACTGAAAATGAAAATTAAATGAACAGCCAAGGYATATTTACTTGCAGCTTGAAAACTCACTTCCATTATCTTAAAGTATTTAGTAAACTGTTTGGTCTTAATTTACAAGTGCAATATTAAAATACAATTGAGTTGTCTTAAGATTTCTTAAGATTAATGTTCTTTCTTTTTTTTTTTTTTNTTTTTTTTTTTTTTTTTTTTTTAACCCACCTTAGTTCCAGGATCATTATCAGAAGAATTTTCAACTGGCTATCTCCTAGGAGAACTTCTGCACAAGTATGAGCTTCAGGATGACTTTAATCAATTTTCACAGAGCAGGTCAGTGTGCATAGAAAATGTGCCACTTACAGAAATTGGAGCTAATGTTTACTGTTCAGTTAAGATTTCTTAACTCTGGGTGGGAAAAAAACAATAAGTTAAATGTTGGTTGTATTAAGTGCACTGATTAGCTTCATGTTTCCAGAAGGCTTAATTATGTTACTTGAAGAAAATAACCCATTCTGATTTTAAGTAAGAAGAGTAGCATGTTAGACTAAAAACCCAGCAAACTCTTCAGGATATCTGCAAGGCTGGAGGTACTGTCCTTTTCCTGTGAGATACGCAGAGCCTGTAAGCCTGAGGTCTGGTATGGTGGTGTTCATTGCAGCATCTGTAAAATGCAATTAGTGCAATGCACTGTGAGGTTTAGAGTGAGACCATGGTGGAAGACTATACTAAGAATTTGTAGGTATCATTGGTATATCCATGGTGTAGTTCTCAGGATTCCCCGATTTATGCTCCATTTCCGGCAAAGATGGACCTTAGTGCATGTATATATCAAATATGCCAGGCTATATGGCTCTTTTAGATGTTCTTTGCACTTCTCATCTTTTATTTAAACTCTTCCATATCCAAGCCTGACCCCTCTATAGGAGCTTGAGTGCAACTATCAGAAGCAGCCAACAGATCCAACAGATTGCACAGCAGTTTATGGGCTCTACTTCTAAATCTTCTAGGTCTCTTGGAAATTTTTTTATCGTTGATGGACTTCTGGGAATTCTGGGCAAACCCAGGGTTTCTGCTGCCAGGAAAGGATAGCTTCAGGAGGCTTTTACTTCTAACATACTCTAGCAACTTCTCATTATGTCATGTCAGCTATTCCTGATAAAAGGGTGCTTTGGGTTTTTGCTTCCAGGTGAATTCCGACTAGGCAAGGTCCAGCATCCTTTCAGTAGGTGCAGCATTTTCATTTGGGAAGAAATGTGACAAGGTTTTGTAAGGGTTAGCAAATAAATAGTTTCTAAAAAAAATCCTATATTTTTCCCTAGGCTGATTCAGAGAGTTTAATTTTTATTTTATTTTATTTTATTTTATTTTATTTTATTTTATTTTATTTTATTTTGTGGATGGTATACTCCTACATGTAATTGGATGTTACCTTTTACTTTCAGATGTTATCAGACTTTTTGTGTGCATATATCAAAACATAGCATATATGGATGACTCTCCCAAATTTTGCTTGTTTTGAACCAACCAGTTTCATGTACTGCAGTATTCAGGTCAAAAGTTGTATCATGTCACTTTAAGAAAGTCTCTTCCATCCTTACCTCAGCTAATCTTGCTATGAGATGAATGACATGACCACATTTATAGGATAAAATTATGCTTGAATATAAGTTTATGTTCTGTTTTGTTTTTTATTTATTTATCATATAGAGTTGCAAATGCAAAACTTAACAATTTTTCTCGTCTGGAGCCAACACTTCAACTCCTCGGTGTACAATTTAATGAAAATGTAGCCCAAGACATCATGACAGGACAGCATGGGGCGGCAACAAAGCTTTTATATCAATTGTATATCGCTTTAGAAAAAAAGAAAAAGGCAAAGCTCACTGGAGGAGCCATGGAAGCAATGAGACCTTCAGGTCCTGCAAAACTCAAGTCTATTGAAACTGTTTTATATCGAGAGGTAAGTGTGTCTACTTGTGAATACCCCTTAAGCAGTTTGCATGCTTCCCCTCTGCACATTTTTTAGTTTTCTATTCTAAACACAGTACTTATATGGAAAAGATGTAGTCTTTTCCACATGTTGAAGAGAGACACGGAAGTTATCAGACACAGATGCAGTATTGAGCTTTGTGCACCAGTGATTTGATTCCTCCAGCAGTTTGATTCCTTCTGTTACACACCTCTCCATATCTTTATACTGTGCTGCAACCTGTGATGTRGGCGTATAAAACAAAGAGGAAAAAGCTAATGACAGTACCCAGATCATAATTTGTTCTCAAGATGAGCATTGCTTACAAAGCTATACATCATAAATCAAACCATGGAGGAAGTGAAGTTTCTCATTTGTCTGACACATATCCTGGCATATAGTCTACAAATAAGAAGTTTACTAACACATGCAGGAGCAGCACCCATCAGTGAAAGCATCCTTTTATGCATACCTAAAATATATGGTTAGGCTAAAGCAATTGGAGCAACTGAGACTGTCTCCTGCCAATAGATATGTTCAGAATGTCACTTGAGTCACAGAATAGCAGAGGTTGGAAGGGTCTGACTCTCCTCATCAAAGCAGRGTAAGCGAGGAGAGATTGCTCAGGACTTTGTCCAGTCTAGTTTGGAATGTTTTTATGGACCGAGACTGCAGCCACTCTCAGCCAACTGTTTATTCTTCCTCACAGTAAAAAAAGGTTTACTTTCTTGTGTTTAAGTGGAATTTAATGCGTTTGAATTTGACTTTGTTTAATTTAATTTCTATATGTTGATAGAAGTGGTCTTTTTTTTTTTTTTCCTGAAAATTATTTTTACATGTTTAGTTTTTATTCCATTAATGCACGAAAACTCTTTTAAATGTGTTACAAGATTATCATGTTTAAATATATGTTTGTTATTTTTTCTGAGTTTCGATTTTCCTGAAATATAATTTCAGCGTCTGAAAAATTTAATGCCTCGTCAAACTGATTTGCAACTGCAGCAGGTTTCAGAGCATTTTGAAAAGAAATCTAAGGCAATAGAAAACAAAATAGCTCGTATGCATATTGCAGAACAACAGAAAATTCAAAAGCTTCAAGAGGAACAGAGAGCTCAAGACATTGAAAAGGTGACTCTTTACTTTCTGTAAAGAAACTTCTGAACAAGTATGTCCATAAATTAAATTACTTAATAATTTATAGCCAATGTGAGTAATTATTATGTTCTGCCTAATCACATGTTTATAGAAAAACAAACAAGCATTAAACTATGTATTGTATATTAGACATGCTAAAACAGTATTTAAAAAACCTATAYTTAAGTTTAAATTAAGAGTGTCTGCACATTGCCATACATGAAAGCTCTTGATCAATTTGAAGACAAGGTGTACTTTCATAACTGTGTGGTTTAGTGTTCTTGTAAAAGAGGTTTGTGATGTTCCTCATTTCTGAAGAAAAGATGAAGCCTTGTTCAGTCTGAAGTAAAAGACAAAGGGAAGGAACCTGTAGTGATATCAGTACATCTTGCCTCAGTACATCTTGCAGCTCTGTTTAATTTTTCTGATAAAGTTATAAAAAAGTATTTAATTTCTCTGGATAAGGTAACACACAGCCAAAATACAAAATATGTTGTTGGGTTTCAAGCTTGATTTGTTCTTTTACTTTCTTCCTAGATTTTTTTTTTTACAAKTAATTATATTTATTTCCATAGGTAAATTAGTAGTGTATTAGAGTAATATATATTTTTTTTCAACTCAAGTATCTGAATACATTGTGTTAAATATTTAGCTTCGCATGGAAAGGAGGAGACAAAATGAAATAATGGCCAGGATTCAAGCAGCCATTATACAGATTCCAAAGCCGCCACCAACCCATACCTTAAAAGCTATTGAAGCCAAAAGATTACTAAAGAAGAAAAAAGAAGCAGAGGTAACCATCAATTGTAATCTTTCAATGTGAATTATGCAAACTAGGAAAAAATATATGTGCTGGGAGTATTTATATTTAGAAATATTGAGCATGTACCAACCAAAAATTGTTGATATAATGTAGAAATTATGTAGTGGGCTATAGGATCAAGTAGTAAAAAGAGGGCAAAATATGAATAATATGTGGTTCTGCTTTTGGTTACATATGGAAAATTTGCTTTAATGTAGAAGAAAGCTCTTAATAAATAACATAGAATACTCATTTAATTTCTGATAAAATTCTTTAGCATCTAGTCTATTGACCAGAATACATCAGGAAATAAAGAATTAATTTTTCCTTCTTCCCTGTGAATGCAGAATGTTTTTGCAGAAGGTATGCGCTTACACAACATGGTTTTAAAAGGCCTACAATACCAGAAGTGCTGGAAGATTTGAAATTGGCCATTGTCCCAGATGAAATCAAGACATGGCAGCAATCCAAAAAGTATATTCTGTGTTTTTTGCTGAGGAGTACTTGGGGAAGAATCTCAGATTTTGGACCATGATGCCATTAGGAAGCTGAATGTTACCAGTTTTTAACACTGTTCGATCAGATGCATTCTATGCAGTGTGTGGGGTTGTAATTGTCTGATGTTGTCACAGTGATTATCAAGCTACTGTAAAGCAGAACATGGCCTAGAATATTTTGTTTCAGAATCCCTCAATGATAGGAAAAATAATCTTTTCTTTTGTCCAGGGAAACAATATCTATTTTCAATGCAATATTTTCTATTGTGTTAAATTAGTATAAAAATCTTTACCTAATACTTGCTCTGTGAATAGTCAATCTATTTATGATGCTTTGTGGAAAGAAAATAAACATCACATTTTGTGTTATTCTTTTAGGACACATACAAAGAAATTAAAAAATTTGAGAAGTCTATGACGGAAAATACCATATCAGCACTCAAGATCCAAGTCACTGATAGGTAATATTTAGATATTAGACTGTTAAGCTTAGACAGAATCCTATTCCAGGTGTCCACTACATGTACTAATTACATGTAGTAATCAGTAATTAGAAAATGTGATGACTGGCTTAGCTTGAGCTGTGATTGTCCCTTGAGCGAGAGTCTGTGTGCTCACTTGTACTACAAGTATTCCAGCTCCAGCAGTGTCACAGTGTTTATATCTTAACTTTAACTGTAGCAAGCTGTATCTTCTCGCTCTCCTTTTTGCCATACAGGTAGCAATAAAAGACACAAAACGCATCTCTTCTTCCCAGTTTATTGCAGACATTGAATATGCAAGGTCAGTTAGACCTGCAGAGGGAGGAGGGTGATTACAGGTGTATATACAGGGTAAYGTACTTCAAGAATGGAGAAAAGCAAATTGTCTTTCTCCTTTGAGTAATGCTGTTTTTATTTTGACACATTTGTGAATGTAGAAGCCATTCTGCCTTCTTTAGTGACAGGTATACCRTACTCGGGAGGCATGGCACTCAGAGCATGCCCCTATAGATACTTCTGCATGAAAAAGCTTCTGATTAATAACTTTGCAAAAATGTGTCCAGAGAGAATGGACATTTAGAAGAGCAATATGTCTTTRTTTAATATTCTGCAAGCCATCCTAAATTTCTGCTTTTGCAGAGTTTAGCTTTTATGATATTAAATATTGGCAATTGTATTGATTGACAGTTGGCTCTAGTCAGTGCTGGAGACCTCCTCTGGAAAAGTGGAGATTATGGAGCATAAGGATATCAAAAAGTAACCCCACCACTCACAAAGACGACTAGCCACATAATTGCACTAYGTAGCTGTCAGTTCAATAAATGTATTTGAAAACAATTCTAAGAACTATCATTTCCAGAAAGTAAGTGTCCTTTTGCTATTTAATCTTTTTGGTCAGTGATATAGAAAATCCATTGCAAACACAGAAGCTGCGTACAACAACCCTAGAAACTACAGCACAGACTACTGAACTGTTAAATATTTATTCAGATGATGAATATATAAAGAAAATTCAAAAGCGTATGGAGGAAGATACTTTTGCTAGAGAGCAACGAGAAAAGAGATGGAGAAAAATGTTAATGGACCAGTTAATAGCGCATGAAGCACAAGAGGTGAGAAAACGTATGCTGGCACATAAAAAGCATGCACAACTGCTAAGCTAAACTTTTGATTACAATGATAAAACAACATAATTTTGGAAAGGTTGGATAAAATGTGGAGGAGGAAAAGAAAGTATATATACTTAATCTCTGAAAATTACTTTTATGCTGGTCATTGTTCCTTGAAAAATATGGAAAGTTCTACACTGTTTTTCACCATCTTACTGTCAGATTTCATCATTATAAGTAATGAAGGTTCAGATGAAGGTAAGAGAGCTATGATGTTTATAATCAGCTGAAGACCTGCCTCTTATTTCTGCCCCTCTCCTGTCTGCCCCAATTTAAAAAGCAAACAACAACATTAACAACAAAAACTTTATTAAAATGTATACTTGGGCTGAAGGGAGTAATACTTAAAAATTATTAAATGCAGTACTGAACAGTTGAAAACATAACTCCATTTGCAAATGTGTTTGCAAATGTGAATAGCTAGAGTAGATGAATTCTGAAATGATCTGTGCAGAATGCTATGAAGAAGCAAATACTTATTTTGCAGATTAGAGCTTTGGAGCTTTGGTTGTTGTGTTATGGGATAGAAGGTGTCTCATGGGGAGGGATGGTGGTGTTGTATCCAACAAAAGATTTTGCAGGTTATTCAATTTCAATTTTGTTTGTACTGTAAAGCAAAAGGCTTTTGAGATTCCTCCTGAGACACTCCTTATTCAAAAGCAGTTCTTAGCTGACTGACTTCACACATCTTTCTYTCTGTAGTGATAATGGCATTGAAGAGAACCTTACTTTATTTCTGTGATTTCTCAGTATCTTTTATCTTAGTATAATACTGTGGGTGTTTAGCWTAGATCAGGTACATTGAACCCAATATAGCTGATTCTGTCTCCCCTGCTGTCCCCTAGCAATTGAAATGTGTTGCATCTGTAATCAGGAAAGTATGAAATTAGAATTACATAACGCATTCTAAAGCATTAGCATATATTGTTCAAAGAGGTTTTTGAAGCTGTTAAGAACAAATTATACTTCTCAGGGTAGGACAAATAGGAATTAGCATTACTATTTCTCCCAGACCTATAATGTATAGAAAAATAAGAACAGCYATAGCAGCTCAGCATGACTCCATCCATCTATGTATTTTGCCTCAAAGCCCTTATTCAAGGAGATTTTTGGTAATTACTTGTTGATATGCACAGGCCATGAAGAGGTTTGACCACCCAGTTGTGTAAAATCAGCGCACTCCCAGCATTTTTTCTTTCCATCCCATCAGCTGCAGCCCCAGCATCGTGGMCTGATGATTGAGCCCTGTCACTGTGCCCTGCCATCAGCTGGTGGCCAGGTGGCAGCAGCACTCATGGGTGCGCCTCTAAGCCAGCCAGTGCTGTCCAGGCAGGCAGGACAGCCAGTATGGACCTTGCCAGTTTGAGGTAAAGGAGATGCTGGTATGTGCTACCAGTCAGACTGGCTCCAATGAGGCTCGAAAGGAAAGCAAATACCACAATAGTGCCCCTAACTTCCYGTGGAAACATGTAGCATCAATATATGTAAAATAAAAGTCACAAATTACAGGGGTTGGAAGAAAAGACAAATGATCAGTTGAATGGAATAATAGCCTAACTAGATCAGAAAATCTATTTAAGGCTAATTTGCTYCCCAAGTAGCAGGGAAAGATGTGACTGTGGGCAATTCTGGGAGAGATTAGAAACTAGAATTTGCTTGGCTTAAGGGTGAAATAAATGAACRTGCTTTCATTTTTCAAGACAGATTAAAAGCATACAAAGTAATCAAATATTAGTTTCTCCCTCAATTGAACCAAAAACCAAAAATGATTTGTTAATTAAGATCTTGGCTTTCCTGATAGACATTAGGGCCAAACTCTACTGACATTGTGTAAAACTTAAACACAGGACTTAGGATCATCTACGCAGTCAGGTCAGATGTCTTCAGAGTGCTCAGAGTGCTTTTGTGTGMCCCCTGTTCATACATATATATATAGGTTTATATATATGTATAAAATCTGCACTAGAAGAGTCTTGTTCTCATTTTTGAGATTTGGCACATTACAGGCTGTAGTACAAGTCAGAGCCTGGGAGCAAAAATACTTTGAAATAACATGCCACTCCCCTAGCTGGAGCACAGGGTGAAACCATCAGATTTTCACAGGCAGCAGTTGGAAGAGTTTGACAGCAACACAATTTCATCTCAGCTGAATCTTTGATCTGAGCACTGTTCTCTTAAAGTACTTGTTTTTAAATGCTCTATTTAGATTTATCTCTTTGAATTTAAGAAGCCATGAGGAAGTTGCTGTCAGCAATGTACTGTGAAGATAGATTTGGAAGGGGAAATTAATTATTACTAGATCATTGTCTGCCCCTCAAATAGATTTATATATGCTAAATTAATAGTTTTGGTAATACATTTTGTGATGTACTATACAACAGGACAGAATTMTTTCATTTCATATTTAAATTAATCCAGGATATAGAAATCCAGAAATACATATGCGGTAATAATATATGTATGTGTGATACAAAACAKAAACATGGCAATAATGTTTGGCCACTGGATGCCACTGTTGTGTCAAATAGGTAAACTGAAAAAGTGTGTGTCATGCTTCCTCAAAGCTACTTGTTAAATGATTACTAATTACTATGATTACTATATGATTTATTAAATCATAAACATGATTCAGCCTCTGCACAGTCCTTTGTGAAGGACAAAATAATTTAAGGTAAAAAAATGATGCTGTCATTTTTATCATGTCTTATGGTAGGCCTAGAAGGTTCAAAATATATCAGCCCAAGAAACTTTCAGTGTTTTGACCATTCATGTCATATAAAGTAGTCATATAAAGACTACTATCCATGCTTCCTCCTCTGTCCAACATACATCCATTTTTAAATGAAGAATTAGATGTTCTGAAACCTAATATAGCTACTGTCTGTCTCCGAGTTAATTGTCTATTCAGATATTATTGTTCCTCAGAAACTTCCTGCTCTTTTCAGGCCTCCTCAGTATGTCAAAACATCTGATTACCTAGAGTGATATCCAGATTCCATATTCCAAATATCTCTTTTGAGTACTGTGAATAGTTCTACGGGAGCAACCCCTTTATAAAGATTCTGTTCACCTACTTTATGCCATACRGTTGATGATATAAATAAGATACACAACCAGTATGTTAAGGAGGCTCTTTAAACTAGAATTTAAAGATCGATCTTCACCTGGTGCACAAATTTCTTGCTGTACTAATCCTTGAATAGTGATAAGCAGGTAAAACTAAGGAAAACAATGWAAGTTATTTATTTTAATAGGAAGCAAAATCTGTACATCTCCTATTCTTCTTTGAAATCTTGATGGAATATCAGTATTAATGCTTTATTCTTGTCCTCTGTTCTTAGGAAAATGAATTTCTAATCTTCAAAATAATTCCCAATTTAAGTCTTTAAATTTATTTTTTATGTTTAATAGCAGTTTTTATGTATCTGAACCAAGTGTTCGGGAAAGCAGAAGCTTCCTTTAAAATTCTGCTGAGAGTGATGTTTGGCAGTGGGATTTCAATGACAAATTAGTGCTTTTTACCTAGCATTCAGAAACAGTTGTGGACCATGAAAGTAATGGGAGAAACTTTAGATTAGGCTTTAGATTAGATACCTAAGATCAGAGGGGAGAAAAAAAATAGAGAACACATGAAAGAGGAATAGTAATAAGGAGATAAATATSTTTTGTCAAAGTACTTTGAAAAGTAAAAGTCCACAGGATACACAGTGTTCCTCCACACTGCCTACACTTCAAGCAAATGCTTAAAGATGACTTTCATATCAGATAGARGGTTTTGTACATCCTACTACTTCCCAGTGAGAACACTGAAATAGAAAACTGGAAGTCTTGTACTTTAACCTGTTTTAAATACTCCGCAATATTCCTAGTCTCCTGAATGGAGAAGAAAATTGCCTGAATCCTAATAAAGAAGTGAAAAAAAACATATCTGTAGAATAGACTGAACAAGTCAGAGTGCAGCTGAGTATTGCAGATTACAACTAAGAATGGAGATTGGCAGAGATCAGGGATAGGCAAGGAAAATATGACTGGATATGGATTTGAGGAAGGAATATATTCTTACATTCAGATGCAGTCATTTGAAACATGCCATAGTTTATCTGTACACAGAATTTATCCAAGATAAAATCAAGTTAACCTGAACAAATGTTTTTTTACTGAATGCATAATTAATATGTACAGAATTCATTGTAGTTTTATAGTTCTTGTATATTTTGTAAAAAGGACACTCCTCATACACGGAAATAGTGTTCCAGAAATATGAATCAGATGTGCAAGTAAGTGCTATTCTCCATTCCTATTTCACCTATGAGACTGGGATTTGTTTTCTGTGACATATTTTATAAGTTTAATGGTAATAATTTATTATTCTTTAGGAGGCTTATCGAGAGGAGCAACTTGTTTACAGATTAATGAGACAATCYCAGCAGGAGCGGAGGATTGCTGTTCAACTCATGCATGTTCGACATGAAAAAGAGGTGTTACGACAAAACAGAATTTTCAGAGAAAAACAATATGAAGAAAGACGACTGAAAGAGTTCCAGGAAGCTCTTGATAGAGAAGCGGTAAAACAGTCTTTATTCCCCAGTTGTTGTAGGACTCCTGGAGTACCTAACTATAACAACTACTCTGTGGGATTTGGGATTTATATTTTCAGTTGTTAAAACTTATTTTGTTTTCTAGGCACAGGATGATTTAACAGTGAATATGTTGCTTTTAATTGTAAGGATCAAAGTTACAGCTAAGCTAATAAATGAAGCAGCAAATGAATTGCTTTAAATCTGATTTTCTTTCAAACTAATTTAGCTTTCTGTGGGAACATTTCTGTGTGATGAGCTTAAAAGGCACATTCCYGCTGAGGTAAAATCACAGAAGACAAAGACAGAATACCTAGTCTAAAGAATCATTTCTTTCATTTCCTTTAGATGTAACCTGTAACATCCATTCTTGACAAATGAAAGGAGTTTCACTCCTGAGTGCTATTTTCTACCTTGGAGCTGCAGAGGCTGGTTAATGCATTAAAAAAAAAAAATCATAATCCAAAACTGCCAAGTTTTTTACCCAGAACAGGCAATACTGCTCTAGTAGCAGTCTTATTTACTCCTGCTAAATAAAATTAATAGTTCCAAATCTCTCAACTCAGTTGGAGTCCTGTGAAATCAGCAGGTATAGCACCAACACCAAGTATGATACTGTAAGTATTCTTTCAGGCCAAAAGGAGAATGACATCTCAGCAACAACAGATAACTAACTACTATGCTTAGAATTCCTTCTCAAAGATCTGGTGACATCAATAATCTTAAAATATTTGCAGATCAGAATCTGACAAGTTAATTTGATTTTCACATAATCTACMTGAAGATTCCAACGTGGATGTCTACAGAGCCAAAGTTATACGCAATGCATCTAATTGTTCTTCAGGAATAGTAATTGGGATCTTTTCATGTTTCCCTGTCCCATAACCACTGTATTCCTAGTTATATTTTTCTGTTATTTCATTATATTATAGCAGTTAATTAGAAAACAAACTGAAACTTAAACAATGAATAGAATTTTTTAGATTGTCGTGTGTCTTAATTTGACAGCTATCTAACTGTGCCAAGATAAAATGTATAACTATCTTCATTTCTTAAATGAGCAAGTTCATTTTCTTATTCAGAATTGTGTATTTCTACACTTTCATTTTCCTTGCAATCTGAAGCTTATTCCTAAAAAAAATTCTAGGCTCTTGCGAAACAAGAAAAGATTGATTACGAGGAACAAATTATTAAAGAAAGAGAAYGTCATGAGAAAATTGCTGCTGAAAGAATTCAGGCTCGTTATAAGAAGCATTATTCTCTATGTTGGGAAATGATCAATCAAATTATTGATTTGTCAACAAAAGTAGGGGAGTATCGAATGCTGACCAACAAGTAAGTACAGTAGATGTTTGGCAAAACTAAGAGGCAAATGGAAAGAAAATGTTTTGAAAAATCTGAAAGATAAAATGTTGATATGGAAAAGCAGTAGTCTAAAATTAGAATCATTAGTTATTGAAATGTTTTTGATTCTTACTTTTATCTCATCCTTCACTTGCTTTTTTCATCTCATTTTTTTCATTGTCTGAAATACTTTTTTTGAAGAAGTGATTATAATATTAAGCAAAAACACAGTTATACCAACCGTATTTTCTTTTTTGGATATATTTGTACAAGTATCTCTATCTCCTCTCCTCCAGATTTTGAAGCTATTTTTAACTTAATTTAAGCAATAGATAACATTTCATACATGTGCAATTTCTATATGTTTTGTTCACATACATGGTCAGGCAGTTGATGCCTCCTATAAAGGATAATTATGTACATGATGTTAATCCTTGCAAGACATAAGTGAATTCACATGGCAAAGAGCCTTCACATGTACTGCTGTCAATGAAAAAGATTCATTTTTCAGACTGTTTTTAGCATCGCTAACATCTCATGTGGGTTCTCAGATATTTCACAGGAAAATTTCRGTTACTGTAAGTGGAAAAATTGTGATACTGCTTTCCTGTGAGAATTYACTGATATGCAATACAGGATGAGCCAATGTTACAGCCTTAGCATAATTTCTTGCAAACTCAGCTAACTTGAATACTTAGGAAATCAGGATTTACTAGTTCTGCCACTTTTGAGTGTACTGACTTCCTTTTCCATGAAGAAATTCCTTAACATATAAGTTAAAATAAGTGGTGCTCAGCTCATTCTAGGCTGTCCTGAGATAGTCTGAAAAAAGGGGTAACCTCTGCCCGTTTTGCAGGAGTGTTTCTGCAACCCGTAGTGGGGTTTTTTTTCTCTATTGCTGCTGTTCTTTTGTCAAGTATTTGGTGATTAGGCTACGGGCAAGCCTCACAGCATTAACGTGTGTGTCAAAAGCTTTGTTATCTTTTYGTGTAATTGTATGTTAAAAGAATAAAGCTTTAAATTCTCTAAGTTTAGACGTGGTAGATATGTGGTAACAACAGTCAGGTTAGTGATGGTTTCCTTGTCTGACACAGTCATGGTTCCAGTATAAGCTAGTATCGCATTTGTTTGTACCGAGTGCTGAACAAAATGTACAAATGTTTGAAATGCCTTTCTAGCATGCAAATCAAGATTTTATCAGCATTTGGTGCTACAGCAGGTATGTCTTTGTCAGTGTTTCCATGCATTTCGTTGTGTGGGATGCATACAATGCGTATTTCATTTTTTCAAAAACAGCAGATGAAGATCCGATCTAAAGCAAAACACTTGACTTTCTACAATCATTACCTGAAGAAAGAGAGCCCAAAATTATGTCACTTTAAAGAATAGTAGAATTCTTCTACATTCTGTCAGACCTAAGCTCCTTGTATTATTTATCTTGTTTATTTAGCAGACATAGAATTCGAACATGAGGCATATCAGTGTCTGTTGGAATTAAGCAATAAAAATAATTTAGTTACTGTTACTTTTTTTTTTTTTAATATTGTGTTGAATACTTTTTCCTCCTAAAGAAAAAAAGAGATGAATAGTCATAAGACTGTATGGAATTTTGGAGAGGGAGGCCTGTCCTTAGAAAAGAGATTACTTTGAAACAGGGAATCATAACTACAGCAAAACTTCTACTGCCCGGCTGTGTCAGCCAGTTGCTGTATGACAGACTTGTGAAGAYAGTGAAGCTTTCAAGTGTCTACTACTACTGTACAAGGAACCAAGCAAAACGACTTGTTTCCCCCTAAAACTCTGTAATGATTATGGAAAGCCCAATAAATGATATCTAGTTTATCATATRCTTATTTCGTGACTGTAACTGTTGTAAATTTGGGTCCAGTGTTCTCAACTCATTTAATTTTGTTTTGAAACTAATAGCTTTCTCCTTCTTCTGCAGCAAAATTCCATTCAAACTGATGTGTGACTGGAAAGAWTTTTTTTTAAATGAGAAACCAATATATGATCAAGCTTCAATTCAACCTATGCCAGAAGAACCAAGCCCAGAACAACTTGTAGAGCTGGATAAAATGCATCTGTTAGATGAGAAAGATTATGGTGAATACAAGGTACATCAAATTGACATGACATAATGGAATAAAATACATCTTGTTTTTTCATAGTCATATTTTSTTGTGATGTATCAGTATTTGACATACAATTTCACATCAGTATAYGACATATCTACCATAAGAAATACATATGTTTCTATTTTAAGTTAATAGCTTTGCAGAGCCTGTGCAATTTTGRAACGGTGTTCTAATTTCTTGCTTGTACGTAAGACTGATTATATTTATATCCTGAGTTCATAGGACTAGTATGTAAATTGCAATGCAATTATTTTTACATAATTGRAATTTTAAAGTGTAGTTAATCTTATCACATTTCTATGTAACAGGAAGTAGCCAGTAAAGTAAAAATAAATTATGTGTTACAAATCTGATACTCTTCTTAATTTCAGCAGTTCTGAAATACAGCCTAAAAAAATCTATGGATTTGAATTATCCAACAAAAGTCTTTTATTTTGAAATGATAGTAATGTAAAATAAATTAAAATGCCTAACATTTTTGTTAACCTCCTATTACAATCCAAGTAACTATTTTCAGAATGCCATTATAGTTTTCTGTTGCTTCACAATATGAGAGGWAATATTACAAGTGAAAATTGAAGGTTGAATGTTGCCTTGTTAAAATTAAAAAATATTCTATATTTTCCAAATTACAAGATTACTGATGCTTTTCTTTRAAAAAAAATGCCCACTATGTTTTGACTGTTTTAGATTATCTGTACTATACCATGACAAAATCATTGCAAATAACCTGTSTGTCTTTGACTTGTTTGGGAAATGATGACCACAATATATGTGCTTTTACCCACATCCTGAGCCAATAGGTACATTTTCTTTTGTAGTGAGTATAATCTTTTGTTAGGAGTTTCTGTGGTGAGTGCCTGACAGCTCGGTTGGCTTTGGTTTCAGTCTTAACAGTTGTTTTTCTGATTGSAGTTATTTACAAGATTCTTGCTCAGACTGTATCAACTCATACGGTTGATAAACTTCAAGATCACCTTGAAGTGATACAAATATACAGGACAGCAAATATACAGGACAGGAAAGGAAGAAGAAACAGTCACTGKGCAGCACTAATGAAAACAAATTTTTGAGTAATATTGTTGATTGTGTTATAAAGTCCACACAGACTTCTCTAGATGTAAAAGGACACTAAAGGGGGCAAACATTTGCCTTATGATGCCTCTAAAGCCTCTCTTCCACTACCAGGCTGTTTTAAAAACAGTCACATAATTAATGTTTTTGCAGATGTTAGTTTTATCCTTTTCTTAATCAATATTCATCAAAAGCTGAAATAATATGATGTGAAAAACTGTTGACACCTGTCACCAAGCTAAGGGAACCTCTAGTACTTTAAAATATTGCTTCTAGATAGAAGCGTACTGGCTAGGCTTTTTGGAAAAGTTTATGCTGATGTCTTTAACAGTGGAAGATAAAGTTTGAAAGATACAGTCTGGCACCTCTCAAGAGCATTATGCTTACACCATAAATACTGACTAAAGGAAACATAGTTAATAGAACACAAGAGCAAAATGAAGTGTTATCTGTCTATTGCACATTCCCCATCAGACCAAGCTTGGAAATTTTTGGTACGTACCACATCATCAGTTTTGGCTAATCACTTCATGAATTAATGAAATCACCCAAAGCAAGCATAACGACAGGCAGTGCACAAAATAGTAGTATCAAATAGTTTCCAGTTGAGGGTTCAGACTTTCAACCAGGAGTTGTATCACTGTGGTCTGCGTGTCTCAAAACGTGTCTCTGACAGATGAGGTAGTTCAAGAGAGATCAGTAGCAAACTTGTGATATAAAAGGCCAGAAATCTGAAAGATGAGTGCGTGGAACAGAGAGTACATGCCATTTGTAATTCACTTTTCTTGACTTTCTAATAGAATTCAAAACAGTGGGTCCAACTCTTAACCAATGTTTGAGAAAGGAGATTCAGATGGGACAAAGATTTAATTGCTTTTGCATATATTTTTGCTGTTATATATTAAGAAGTGCTTGTCTGATATATAGAGTGGATACTGTGCAACTCAAACATAGGTCTGATATTTGTATTGATTAAAGATAGGTAACATTTTCATTTTTAGTGATTGTTAGGTTTCATAGTGTTATTCTAACGCACATATATTCAAAGACTGATCACGTTCTCTTATTAGGATATATGCATGTGACTATATATCATTTATCATAATCAAGTTCAACAAAAAGGTTGTATAATCTACCTGGAACATGAATTTTAAATACTGTCTTTCAACAGTACTTAGAAAGGAACTGGATTCTCCTGCTGATAGTAATGAAATATCTGATTTATAAAATCATTAAAAATTTCAGACTGAAAGCAACAGGGAGATCTTTTAWTTCAGCCTCTGTTCAACCTCTTTGCTCAAAGCAAAGACAAATTTGGAATTTAATCAAGTTGTTCAGAGTGTTGTCTAATCACTTTTGACTGGTTCCGAAGATAGACATTCCACAGCCTCTCAAGGCAATTGGTTCTCATGCTTAAGCAATCTCATTGTCTACATTTTTTGCCTCAAATATAGTTGAAGTTTCCCTTGCTAAAATATTTGACCTTTACCTCTTATTCCTGTTGTTTTTGTGCCCTCTTTTTTTTTTTTTTTTCTTTTGTGACAAGCTAGAATTTAACTGAGGGTATTGCTAGCCCACTTAGCTTTCAAACAAAGGTTTATCAACCTGCCATCAAATAAAGAATAAAACAAAACTAGTGTTATTCTGAATTACTAACATAACCTCTCAACTTCTCATAAAATCAACTGTACATATTCTTTATCATCACTTTACTACTCTTCTGGGAAATAATTGGCAACATTTCAGAGGCAAATCCACAGTTTTCTGTTTAATTATTCCCACTACATCTTTCTATTCTCATCTTTCACCTAATTACCTCATTACATTATATTCTGGTAACTCATACCACTGACCAATCTGCATACATGCATATCATGTTTCCAGTAAGGTTTTCTCTCCCTTAAAAATTCCTGTAATTATGTATTTTTATATATGAAATGCATATTAAGCAGATATATTTGTTTGAAATTTATATGTGATACCAAGAACTAATGTTTCCCAGTTTTTAGAATATAAAATAATGTTGTAATAGTGAACCTCTCTTCCAAATATCTGCTACTGCAGTATTTTGTTCTGTAGTATTGGGGAATGACTTTTCATGTTTATGTTATTAAAAAAATTGTTTTTACCATATATAAAAATGAGTGTCAGGGTACTTGGCTCCTTGCAGGGGGTATGAGTGAGTATTAATAAATGCTTAATGAATGTGCCATTATTTCAGCATTTAACAAGGCTCTAGTGTAAAAATATTTTATTATTTAGTAGTAATCAAATTTGGTTGTTGCAATTATGTTTTCTATGCAAATAAATACATCTGAAAAGATGAAAGAAAAGGCATACTGAAAAATGGTAATTTGTCATTTATACAGAGCATGACAGGGGAATGGTGCCCACCTGAAGAGAACAGCGAAATCAAACCTCCTCTTAATAATAACATATTGGGTCATGTGCTTCATAGACTGATGGAGATTTTCTATCCTCCAAAACCCAAACCTTCACCACCTGTATTTCCTCCATTTCCTATCAAGGGATGTATTCTGGGAAAATTTCTTAGTGGAAAAACTACCTGTGTAAAGTTTCTTGAAAAAGGTAGAGAGGTTTTTTTTTTCCCTAAAATTCATAAAAAAGGTTAAAGTTTGCTTGCTTTGAAAAGCTAATTTACAGTGCAAATCACTGCATTACTAATTCTGGAACCTCAGGTGCATCAGTAATTTGCAGGAATTGATTGCAAGCCATTCATTCGTTWTTTTCCAAAACAAAGTTGAAATAGGTGAATGTGAATCTTAATTCGTTGTGATATCTTGCTTTAATTCTTCTGCCATTTTTCATGCCATTCCTATGGCATGAGATTTTTAAAAAAATTTAATGAATGCCACACTCCTTTGAGAACGTGTGTTAAAGCAAGGCAATTTTTTAATACGGACGTGCGTTGGTTACAGATAAGAAACTGTAGAAACCAGTTACATCAAATGCACAATCAGAAGGAAGTTTGCATTGTTTTGCATGTAATAATGCTGTCTTCCCATTATTAACTTAATTTCAATAACAATGCCACTATATGTTTGCCCAGCTGAAACTATTCAGTTCTCTAATTTTATATTTTGTGTATTAGTTTTCAATATTCAGGTACTATCTGTTGATACTCTTGTTCAAGAAGCCATCCAAGCTTTTCTTAAAAATGAAATGAAAAGTCAAAACAGTTTTATTTCACAGGAAGCACAGTGCTCTGAGAAAGAAAATGGGGTAAGCATATTGTTTCCATTTCTTATTCTTTGAGTTTTAAAGACTCCAAGGCTCAGCTTGGATTGACAGTTTATGGGATATTTTTTCCCTGTAATATGTAGTTTCCTTTCTAATTATTTTTTTCTTAACTTGTACAAGGTCCAGAAGAACTTCTCTTTGGAATCATCACAGGAAGTTTTAGAGAGACTTGAAACAATATCTATCAATGAAACCAAAGGTGAATACATATTTTCTAGTCGGATTTAAATGGTAGTTCCCCTTATACATTTGAAATAGTATCCATGCCATGACATCAGAGCTTTTGCAGTAGGTTCCATTATTAGTTTCTTGTTTCTATGCATTCCCAGTGTCTTGGAGCAGCAAAGGCAGGCTATTACACAGAGCAAGATGGGCTGGTAGGCAAGAATGGTAGAAATGCAGACAGGACAACTAAGTGTGATGATGCTGAATCGTCAAGTTAGGGGGAGGATCTGGCCTGGAAACTGTGATCAGAGTGAGCCTCAGTCCAATGATCACCCAGCATGCGTTCTGATGAGCAAGTCTGAGGTCAAAAAAGGATGTCAAGTCAGCAGGTCTGGTTTAGAGTCAGAATTAGAAAGGGAGATAGGTTGCAGATAATACTACTATACAGTTATGATGTACCACACAGAGGGCCCAAAAAGAGAGATTCAGCTTAAGAGCAGCTCACAAAGGAAGAGGAGGCAGGCCCCCAGTTCTATCCACCAGATCTTACCAACAGAGGAGCTGGTGTTGGGATAAGACAAATAAATACAAAATCACAGAGTCATTGAGGTTTAGAAGTACCCCAGGAGATCATCTAGTCTAAAACCGTTTGCACAAGGCAGGGAGAGCTAGAAGAGGTGACTCAGAATATGTTCGAACAAGCAGAGTGCCCTGGCAGTAAAGAAGATCCAAAGCATTTTGGACCATATTAACAGGAACACAGCTAGTAGATTGAGGGAGGGGATTATATCCAGCACTCAACATTCATTACGTTGAATTTAGAAAACTGTATTCAGTTTATCAAAAAGACAAAGCCTTGCTCCTCATGATGTTTATGGCAGGAGTGAAAAAACATGACAGGTATAAACAGAAAAAAAAATGAAGTTTTGACTGGATATGAGGAGAAACAACTTCTGCATGAGAACAGTCAAGTCCTGGAACAGATTGCCCACAGAGGCTGTACATTCCCCTTCCTTGGAGGTTTTTAAAATCCCAGTGGATAAAAAACTTGAGCAGCCTGCTCTGACCTTCCAGCTGGTGCTGCTTTGAACAGATGGTTGTACTACAAACCTAAGGAGATCCCTTCCAACCTGGCTTATGCAGTGATCCTGTGATTCTAATGCATATACCTTTTCATCCTCATTTGTTCAGAGAACAATGAGATGTATATCTATTATGTACCTATACTAGTTAGTATTATAGTAATAAAAATGTCAAAATATTAAAATGTACCTGTTTTAGATAATGATCCTGTCAAAGCAGATGAGTCTGGTCAAGAAATTGTATCAGGCAGTAGTCAGGATGAGCAGTCCAAGGTATGTAATTTGATTTTAACTTGTACTATATTAATATGCATTAGTCAAAACCTTCTCATTAAGCTACAAAACATGAATACTATTTTGTCATTTTGGTTTCATGTATTGATAAGAATTTTTCACATGAAATATGAAAACAGACTTCATTATAAAAAGTTATTGTTGACATGTCAATCTCAAGTTCATGTAAGATTTACTACTTTCTTTGTCATTTCTCAGTTACTGAAAAGCTATTTGTGATTCTGCTGGTGCTAAACTGTTTATTCATTCCCATGGCAAATTTTTTTCCTTCAAAAATACTTAATTCTGTAAGAGACCTCAGACTCTATTGATCTTAGCTGAAAAATATTTCAAAATCTAGTAAGCCTTAGGATTCTGGTACTCCTAATCAAGTTAAATACTACCATAGGAAACTTAAGTTTGAATCATTTCTTAAGCTAGCAGAAAGTAAAAAGTCAGTTGTGGTACAGCATTGAAAATCAGAATAAGCTTAGACCCAGGAGACTTAATTTTTATTTCTTGACCTTAATAACCTTTGTTCTTCAACTTCATTTCTGTCTTCCATTTTTGTTGGTGTGATGATGTTTAGTTGGATGCTTCAATTAAATTAGGCCTTCTTTGCATCAGCTGAAACTGTTGTTGCTTAATAGGAACAACAATGAACATTAAGTGTAAAAAAAAAAAAGAGTAAAAAGTAGGATTATATCTTTTTAACAGTGAGTGCTGTGAACATTCTGAGCATTAGTCTTTCATGTTCTTTTAACTGCACAGCTATCTGTACGTGCCCAACTTGGTGCTGCTTCACAGAAATTTTTGAAGAAAGGAAAAAGTATTCCTGATGAATTGCTAATTGACATCCTCTTGGAAGCCATTAAGTATGAAATTGTGTAGTTTTGTTTCTCAGTTATTTAGAATATAATGATCCACTTTGTAGGTCCAGATCCAGCTATTTCTCTTTATTGAATATTTTATTGGAAAACTGAGGTATTCTACTGGGAAAGTGAGCTAATTAGCGTGGTTAGTTAATGCTCATTTTAAAGTAGTAGAATCTAGCCCTGAATTATGCAATTGTACAACACTGATGGTAAATGCAAAGTACACGACTAGCACATAATCATTAAATATAACTAATGTCTTAATTTTGCTGTGAGTTCATTTTTAGAAAGATATTCAACATGTGCTAATATTTTTCTTTTAGTCTTTGTGTGTGTTATATAATCCAAACATCTCTACTTTGGCAGTTAGATTGGCTGTTTTTGTCTGTTCTTTTCTTGTTCTTGCTGTTCTTTTGCCTGCATGAGAGAAAATTATCTCAACTGCTCTTATGGGCAATTAGTACTTTAAGTTCCCATATGACTATCACTAAAGTTTTACTCCTCCCATTAGTACTCTAGAGTTATGAAGCAGATTTTACTTCAGTGTAAAAGTTAACAGTGGAAAATAATGAAATTCATCTCTGGTCACAGTTTATATACAGTTTAGTTTTGAAAAGACAGCAAAAATTTTTATTTTTTCTTCGTTTTTAGTTTTGTTTCATTTTAGCTTCTTGTTTGAAATCTATTGCTTTGCAGTTTTGCTTTTAATTTTAATGGTCTTCATATTCATTATTTGCCAAATTGTTTAATATACTGAATTCAGAATTAAAGACTGTTGAGGCAAGTTCTTCTTTAGGTGTGATTTATCAATATGCTGTTATTTCGCTATATAATTCTAGTTCTTCATTTGCATTTAGAAAAACCCCACCAGAGAGGGGCTGGATTGTGGATGGATTTCCAATAACAGTAAATCAGGCAAAGCTTCTTGAAAAAGCCTTTTCAGGGATTGATCCAGACAAAAGAGATGACAAAGATGACAACTCTGGGAAGCTCTTACTGGTTACGGATCCCAGACACCCTAAAAAGCCATTTGTTCCCTCACCCACATTTGACTTCTGTATATTTTTGGATATATCTGATATCACAGTACTGAAACGTATGGCTAACTTGAAATGTGAGTTTCTGACTACGTTTAAAGAAGTTAAGTGACAGGCAGATTCTGCTAAAAGGGTAGAACTACTGTTTTTATAATATTGAAAAGACTAAACCTCTTTAAGTTCATTGTGAGTACTTTACAACATAATATTGGGTTATATATTTTCATTAAAATATGAAATATATAACAAAACATATTATATACCATATTTTGGCTTTACTATAATATAATTATCATTTAATATATAATACATATTTGATATTGATATTTTGATGTATTTATATATATGTATATACCTTGAAATTTTTGTTAGTTTAAAGAGTTTGTGTTGCCAAAACACATTCAGAGAACCCTGAAATACTCTACCCAGATGAATGTCTCATCTCCACCTCTGGAAAACTCTAGGACTGCAAAATATCCATGAGGAATATTAGTGCTATAGTTAGTTGTGCATTCAACCAGGAAATGAGGCAAACTCAGGTTCTTTCCAGCTCTGTTTTGTACGTCAGTCATTTTCTCTGACTTCTCTATTTCTGGAAGTTTGGCATGCAATTTTTAGATGAAAAAATGTAAGATGAAGGAATGCTGAAATGTTTCTTCTAAATTTATCTAAGACCTATAATTAGATTACATAGTTACTTTTTTGAACATATATACGTTGTTTCCCACAGCAGATAAATCAAAGTCATCGGAAATCAAACAGGAGGACATCAATCAAGCTTCAGATGTAAAAATTCAAGAAGAGAAGATGGACTTAGTCAGGGAACAGATGCTACATAGGTATGATATATGAAATACAGTAAAGTTGCTTCAGTTGCCTGCTTTACTTTATAATTAATCTGAACTCTACATGTGAGCCATGAGCACTGGCATGCCTACTCTTATGCTTGTACTTGACAGTTTCTGACGTGGAACCTTAAGAAGCATTTTCATCCTTGCTGTAATATAAACAATCTTATCAAATCAAATTTTATCTGTTTTTCTTTTTATGAGATACAGAATGTTTTTCTTCAAATATGTACTGAATGAACTACATATACATGTATATGTGGGTATGCATGTGCATGTGTGAAAGAGTGAGGTCACTCTTTGGAATACTATTTGGCTGGATTTGTTTTAGTATTATAATAGATCTTTTCTTGCTTTTGTTTATTGGTTATGCGAAATGCTTTATTTTCCTGCAGTTATGTCAATAGTTAAATCTTGAAGTTATACATTGGTATGATTTTTATAGAATTTCAGGATTTCTAGATACTTGGCCAGAATTAGAGAAATGGTTTTCAATCCATCAAAATATTCTAGTGAAAGTCAATGCAGAAATCGAAGAAAATCTACTGTGTAAAACAATAAAGGAAATCCTCATGGAAGAAATTACCAAAAGAGAGAATAGAAGTAAGTTTTTTGGTTCCTACTTTTTATACTTCAATAAGAAAATTCTTTGTTGTAATGTTTACTATTTCATGAACATAATTACAATTTTCACTGGACCTTAGAAATTTTGCAGATTTTTAATTCAGTGACTAGGTTCATACTACAGATATTTACGTATATAAACAAAAGTATTTTATGCATGCAAAATATTATTATAAAATATTATAATATATAATTGTTATATATTATTAAATGGGTTCATTTGAGCACAGGCAGATGCATGCAGTCTAGACATGTTCACAGAAGCAATTTGACCTCTATGTCTTTTACATTGAGGGGTGAGAGGTAGGCTTATTTCTTCTCACTCAGCTTAGGTGCCTCAGGAAAGGCTTCATCTCCATGTCTTTTCTTGCTAACAGTTTTCTTGCGGATTTTTCAGATTTTCTTTCAACCTACTAGGGTTGTTTATTTTTCTTGTTTTCTACCAAATTATCTTTTCTCTCTCTTTTTCTTTTTTCCCTGCTTTTTCCTTTTTTACTCCTCTTTTATCTTATGTTATACTTTATCTTTCACCCTTCTTAGGTTTTCCGTGGTAAAGTGAACCATTTTAACTAAGATTTACCTCAATTTATCAGATTGTTATTTGATATTCCTGACACACTTTCTTTCAAAACTTGGGATATGTTGGCACAAACTACATGTGCTTGTATCTGTTCTCTAATTAAACATGGAGTCCTTGATAGTTTTATTGAAACTCAGAATTATAACATCACCACTGACTTTTATTTAGCTGGTAGACAATGTGCTTCATATTAATACACAAGATTTCATTACCTTCCTGCTTCTTTCACAGTGGTGGTTTTAGAAAAGTTAACATCCTGTAAAATATAAACTTAACTGAAAAGTGTTTTTATAACTATGACAACACAGATTTGATGAGCGTATTTGTCATGAACAATATATTTGAGCTTGTCAGAGTAGCATAAATGTCCTGTTTTTTTACACCTATAATACATTTGAAGGTACTAATTCTAAAGAAGGTACTAATTCTGAAGAAAAACCAGCAGGAAGAAAGCTTTCACAACTTACATCTGAAGATATTCCTCCTCCTATTCCTGTGGTACCACCGCTCATTAAACCAGGATCAGATGAGTGGGTGTATGTAGATGAACCACTCCCCAAGGTACAGTCATTCATGATTAGATATTAGAGTATGTATTTTTCTCAATATTTTATAACATATTCTACTTAAACTTTTTGTGTCATTACAAATATTTCATTCAATATCTCCAATATGTAAAAGTTGAGACACTAATACAAATATCCAAAAATATGAATAGCAGCTGCTATTTGAATGCTATTTGCTATTTGAGAATGTTACGTTATAGAAAATCTATTTGAGAATATTATGCCATAGGGAAACAACTAATGATTAAAATGTTTGAAGTGTTTTTTGTTAGTACAGTATATGTAATTAGTTGTAAACAGGTCGGAAGAAATACATGGAGAAAGAAATCGATAAGTATCACTGAAATAATATTTCTTTTATTTGCTAATAACACAGCAAAACAGTTTATCAAGAAATGTATCAATTAATTTTGTTGTTTTGAAATTATTTCACAGGAGATACCTGATTTTTTAGTACCTTACTGGGAAATGGTAGAAAATTCATATGTAAATACCATCAAAACTATACTTAGATGCTTAAGGGATGAACAGCACTCTGCAATTTATTACTTAGCAGATACTAGGTGAGTAGAAATAACAGCTTATTACCTTAATATTCCCATTTTCTATTTTTTATTTGGCATTCTATATATCTTTTAACACTAAAATTATTTTTATCACAATTCACAGAAAACATTTCCAGGATTATCTGAAACGTCCAGATCTGAAGCAGACATTTGTAGCTCAGTGGCAATCAGATTTTAATTCACTTGCTGATGACCTGTGGGAAGACGAGGAAACAAAAGCAGAACTACACCAAAGAGTTACTGTAAATAAGTGGCAAAAAGTTATAATCCACCTTAAAGTATTATCTGACTTTAAACCAGATTGGGCTAATAAGAAGGAAATTGTTATTTTTTTWAAATTTTTACCATTCCTCCAAAACTATTTCATTTTCCCCTGTACATAAAGGGATAATTCACGATAATTCACAATTCTTCTTTTTATTTTTTAAGTAGTACTGTGATATTCTAGCACATCATAGAGTAAATATTTCCCTGCCTTCTTTGTCTTTATCTTTTATGTTTTTCAGAATTTAGCCTAGCTTAACTTGGCCCTGTGTATAACAGCATTCCTGTCTTCCCATTTTGTGAGATAAAAGTCTGCTGTGCTTAATACATGCAATAGGTCTCCATGGCTTTCAGTGAGTCACATGGTGTTGCTATAGATATAGTCACTAGTTTAAAAGCATTTAGCTATAAAGAATGATCCATGAATGGGAGAATTCCCAGAAATGGGAATCYCTAAACGGGAAGATTCCATAGCCACAAGTACAAATATAATTTAAAATAATAAATATATAAAAAGATACTTTTCTGTCATAATCAAGTATGATTTTGTAATTTAGGACCTAAGAAATCGTCTCTGGGATATCTGTGATAACAGAAAGGAAGAAACTGAACAAGAACGTAGTGATATCATGAATGATGGCTGGTTACCAGATCATAAGGGGATTGCAATGAACCATTTTTTTTCTCTTATGCAGGTATGGTGTGGAGCTCTACTAATAAGTGCAATGGGAACAGATAATAAATTAGATTTGGAGGTCTATAATCCTCAAAAGATTTTCATATGGTTGACTCTGACTAAGTGAGCGATCAAGAATTAGATAAGCAGATGTCCAGGCTTCTCCTGAATTAACCTAGATAGTTAAAGATGAAAAGTAAATAGCTTTCCATATATTCATCCATTTTATGGCAGAAAATTTTAAGAAAAATACCATTATTATTGTCCAAACTTCTTAAGCATTCAGTTCATAATGCACAGTGCTACTTTTGTCAGTTAATCAATCCAGTGAATAAGCTGAGTTGTGTAACAAAAAATGTATCAAATCCATTTCTTCCTCTGTATTTACTTTGACATCTGCTCTTATTTTGGTCAAGTGATGTAATGAACCACTTTTGCAGGCCAACTTGCTATTAAGGTTATCTTGTATTTCCCATAACAAGAAATTATTTTATTATCACCTAGCTTGATATTTTACTTGCAGACTGACCTGAAAATCTGAAAAGGAATGGTTTTGCAGAAAATGGGCTGCTGTATATGAGAAAATCTCTTAAATTTAACACAACTTTCAGATAGGAACTTGAAAGCTTTCAGAAATCTGTCTATCTGTCTTCACTTACTTGGTCCTCACTTGCCCATATTCGGCCTTCTTCCCTTTCAGGCAAACCATGAGTTATTTCAGTTTGTTTGTTCATTTTTTTTTTTCTTTTTGTACAACTTGACATTTCCTTTAATGGTTTGGCAGCTCTAAAGAAGTTAATAAAAAATAAAATTTGTTTTAAATATGTGAAATGCCATGTCATGTTAACTTATCTGAAAATAATGACCTAAATAGCTTAGATTGACCTCCTTGGCCTTCTATCTCTGTGTTATTTTATGTACTTACTAATTGGGGGAACCACTTTCTAATCTCATATGAGTGTCGTAATAATTGAAGCAGTGTTTGTGCAGTATTCAGTTGCTATAGTGAGAAACTTATTAATGCAGTTTTCAAAGAGTCAAAATAAATGCTCTAGATAAAGCCTAAGGTCACTGACTAAGCAAAGAGGTCTAAATAGGAAATAATTGCTAACGGAGCAACATTCATCTTGTAGCTAGGGTCCACAATAATCTGTTATGCTCTTTGMAGTCTATAATAAGATATATGATTATGTATTTTAAGACTATATCTTAAATGCATAAAGGAACATAATTAAAGTCATATTGCTGAGTTTAAATTGCTCATTTGGAATCTAATTTCCTGTCTATCCACCTGTCTTTTGTGGATAAAGAGAATAACCAATTAAATTTACTAATGTGTATTAGCCCAATGCAATGCATATGTTCTTTCAAAAAAAAAAAAAAAAAGACAATTTTTAAAATAATTTTGTATATATTCCTACAAAAAACAGTTATTAGTGTTAAAAATTACGAAACTAAAAATATTGCTACACATTTATGTTATGACTTTGTTTGAACAACAACCAAAAAAGCTCCTTCTGCAGGTTTTTCTGTGTAAAATTACATATATTCCCCAGCTGCCTCTGTTACTGAATAAAAACATATATTTGTGTAAATACCATTTAACAATTAAACTTTAGCTTTAATCTTAACTTTAGCAAGGTTATATCAGATTTCTTTCCATCTTTCTATGTGTATGCTGTCATAGTGAAAGCTGTTTTCTGTGTAACTTCTGGATAAGAGCTGTTTTGCACCACACGATTTTATCCTTCATTTTGTGAATGTGGTTTTGTGCATTTTCCCATGAATATTTAGTACTGTTTTGTCAGTTAGAAACTAACACCCTGCTGTGTCAATAAATCAAAACATGACAGGTGTTAAATGTTTTTTGAGTATTGCTTGGTTTTTCCTAAGAGGAGTCAGACAAGTTTAGGTRTGCAATGTGTGATGAACTCTTCAGTTCAGTTCAGTTTTTATTTTCTCCTTAATAATTCTTAGTTTGAATTACAAAAGATTTTTAATTATTTTGAACAAAAAAGATTGCTATAATTTGGGGATAGTGCCAGATTTGCTAGTATAGAAATACATATAGATCAAAATATACTTGAGTGGACCAGATAGTTTTAATTGAGAGGAATTGTGCTGGTTTTACAATTAAGATTTTTATTAACTTTTTGGAATACTTGAATGAAAATTGAGAATGGAAATGTGAAAGCCATTATTAATGCAACTGAAGTATACATTAAATACAGTATAAATACTCAAATATGTTTGTTATCTCCCTTAAAAAATTGTATGATTTAAACTTGTTTTTGCTTGAATTTAAAGATCTAATAGAAAACATTTTTCTTCACTCAGTTTTTAATATCAATCCATCTGTCTTCTTGAGGTTGAAGTGGATCGTTTCCAGGATACAAAGAGACTTCTTCATGATTATTATAGGGCAATGGAAGGAAAAATCCCAACAGAAGACAGACGAGATTTTACTAGAATTCCATTGTTAGATATTACTGATTTAGAGCAGAAAGAAGATCAAGTCAAATCAAGAAGGTAAAAATGCATCACTRTATTATAAAATTATCAACAAGTACAATGCGTTGATAGATCTGTGGGTTTATTTCAAAGAACAGATAAGCAAAAATTTTTAATTAGTCACTGATGTATCTTAAATCATCTTGTAGATTACATTTATCCCTGATTTTTGATCAATCTACCTAGGTCATGTCCACTAATACATGTCTGAATTATCAAACCTTTAAAAAGCTTAGAAAGAAATATTTCATGCTTCACCCTGCTTTGCTGACAGTTTCCATCAGAATCCTCATATAAGTAACTTAAACTTTATTCTGGAATGTTAAAAACGGAGCAAAAATATTCAGTGTATTATGGGGTGMTGGATAAGTAAGGCAGTGTAGAAAAATGCACACGATTGAATGTAAGATTCCAGATGAGGGATACTATCAAATAATTTCACAGTAATAAAAGTGCTGTCAATCGTAACACATCCAGATGCATTTTTTCATACTTATGGTTCATCTAGAAACCATCTGAGTAATGTGGTTGTGCTTCTAAGCCGTGTGGGATATATCATCATATCACTCATTCATTGAATCTCTTTAAGAGCAGATGGTTAATATCTATTAGTGTTTCTATCTTCTGTAGCTATACTAGCTAAATTTCTTGTCTTATGCACATTATACAATCTCTGGTTACAGAAAAAGTGTTGCTTTTCCTGTATTGCTATGGCTAATTATGAAAATAGTTTTCTCAATCTATTCTACAATGTAATTGTAACTATCAGTTTTTAACAGGTATCATGAACTACACCTTGTGTATTATTTTTAAGGATTCCTCTAGTTTCTCGTAAACCGCCTTCACCAGATATAAGTACTACCAAGCCAAAAAGCAAGGGAACTCCACTGAAGAGTGCTAAGGATGAGGTCTCTTCTGAAAACATTTTGGCCACTTCTGGGAAAGATGAAAAACTCATTACTGATACATGGCAAACAGCAGTAACAACAGTAGCAAGCATGGTAATAAATGTTTTATTTACTCAAAGATTTGTGGATTGTACAGTTAAGGTCTCCCATTCCATATATAGCCTAAGCATACAGCCTGTTCACTATGTATATCAATATCATGTCTATTACTCTACCACTAGTATTTTCATTGAATATATTTCTATTGTTATGAGGAAAACAAAAGAAATTTTGTAGTAACAGATTCCTAGAACATTTCTGTTTATTATTGACCACTTCATTCCATTACTGAGAGAAGTATTTCAGAGCTTTATAACCCTACTTCTTCCATCAAAATGTCTCCCTTCATCCTTAGCAGAAGCATGAGAAGAGGAACAAATTTTGTTCACTGAAACAACTTTTGCTTAGACATTTTAAAAATTCAAAAGCTATGGCTAAATTGCATATATGCAGTTATATGTATATGCAAAAGTAAATGAGGTTTTCAAAAGGCTTTCAAAAGTTTTCTAGGCAAGTCTTTTCTTGAATCAGTTTAAAATGAATGCACCCTTAAGGTGTAGTTTTAGTCTTGCTTTGTATACTATAGGTTTGTATTTGCTTCATTTTCCTAGAGAATTTAAATAACGTATTATGAGAATTAAAATAGCCATCTTCCTCTGTCTTGTCTTTTTGCTGTAGTGTTCTATTTTTTACTAAGTAATCAGAATGTTATGAATTTTACTTAATGTATCATCTCCTTTCTTTCCTGTATGTATGCATGAATGCATCAACAAGTATTTGCAGAAAGTTTAGGCTACTTAAAATGGTAGTTGTGTAGTAGTGATACTATGTGCTTGACTAAGTTTGTAAATATGATGTCAAGGTATCAGCTGAAATACAGGCTAAAGAAATGGAGGAAGAAAAAGAACGTCAGCAACTAGAGCTGAAAGAAAGAGAACGTCTACAGTCTTCTCAGACAACAGCAGGCAAAACTGCTGGAAAAGATGCCAAAGATACCAAAAAGTTTTCTCCCAAATCAGGTTCTAAAAAGAAAGGTATGTGAAACTCAGTGTTTTCAGAGTTCATGAAACTACTGAGATGTAAATATTTCAGTAATACAAAAAAAATAAAAAAAAAGGTAATGCAAAACATTTAATTTGTGTTTTGAAAGGCCAAATACGACATTTAAGTGCGAAAAGCCATATATGTAGATACCCACACTTATCTCTGTTTTTCTGCAGGAGCACCTCCTCCTGTACCGGTGGTTGAAGTGACTGCTCCTCCTCTAACTGCAGAAGAATTAAAGAAACAAGAATTGAGACTTAAAATAAAGCAGGAATATTTTAGTGCTCTTGAACATGAAGGTATGATACCATTTAGTTATTTCCATTTGATCACTAATTCTAGTCTAAACATTGCTATAGTCAAAACTGACAAAAACTTTTTGGGAAAATGGATTAATAAGAAAAAGGAAAGGAGAGAAGGGACTGTCTGGAGAAATCAGAGCTATTTTTAAGACGCAGTTATCAATGATTTCATTGTATATATTTAGTRTATATATATATATATATAYACACACACACACACTAAATTTTAGGTGTGTTTTTCATTCTTATTTTTGTTTTTCCATAAAAAAAACCTGTTCATCATGAGGGAGTAAGTTGATACAAATACTTAGCTATCAACTCTTATACTCTTTGCTATTTGGTGAACTGTTTTGATCTGGGAAGAGTTTGATGATCATTAGATATTTCAGTGCTCTTCTCTCTGATTCCCTCTCCCTTAGGCTGCATGGGAGTCAAGTAACAAGATATAGATTTTAGGTTTATTCTTTCAAACAGCTTTCCAAATRGACCCTTCCAAAAACTATATGCTGTTTCATCTTTCTATCTCTTTTTCTTCCAGTAACCTCAAACTCACTGGTCAGAAAAGCCACCAATAAGGCAGCATTTCTTTAAATAGTGCAAGGTAACTAGGCAGGCCGAAAGTGTCCTCTGAGATACTTTCAGTTCCTTCTAACCTTTACTGTACTATTAACTTTTAGAAGTGGTTTCTTTAAAATGTGTCCGTAACAGGATACTCACACTTACATCAAGCTTCTGTATCTGTTTGATGTATAATAAATTAAATTCTATGTCACTGTCTACTTAAGAATCTCCCGCAACTCTGTGTGAGTTTTATTAAGATATTTATTTCCTTCGGAACTCTGTTTATTGAAGACCAAATTTGTAAAATACATGGTAAAATATGAGCGATTCTGAAAAACAAATAATTGAAGAGGATGCTAAATACAAATTAATGTGTAAGATTTAGATCCTTAAGAGTCATAATCTTCCTCAAATTTTACAAATATCATAAATATTTTAAACATTTATAAACATTAACTGTTAAGTATAAAACTTTTGTTTGAACAGAGGGAGCCACAAAGTCTCGACTAGAACTTATAAAACAGAAAGCTTTAGCATTTGTTGAAGAACTAACCAGGAAAGTAGAAGAAATGTACAAAGATATGGAAACATGGCTTGGAGCCAGATTCCTGGCAGAAATGTCTAGGTATGGTGTATGCAATTTTAAACAAGAATTGTTACCTTTTAGAATAAAAGACTATGCTAACAGTAGTAATGCTTGCTATATAGTATATAAAAACAAAGAATTTTGAAAAAATATRTATATAAAATGCTATTTTTTTCATGATCTGGAATTTGATTTTACTTTAAGATATCCTGGTAAGAGGGTGGTACCTCATTTCTTCTATGATTAGAAGGTTCTGTTGGCAGTAGTAGAGATTCTACTGTTTTCTAGACTAGAAATTAGGCAGATTTATGAGTGCTGGTAGGCAACCAGATATTCTGCTTACTAGAAATTTGTACAGATTTTCAGTAGTTTTAGTCACTTTGGAATGGTGGGTTCTTTTCTTTCCTTTGCTTCATACATACTGCATCTCCACCTACTGTTCTTACCATTGTGTATAAAATTTACTGAAAATATTTTAAGGATTTAATATAAGGATTTAATTTAATTTAGTTTTAAGGATTAAAATTAAAATTTTAATATTTCTAAATTAAAATATAKATTATTTAAATATTTTAAATAAATAATAAATACCTTTCTTGGAGATTTTTCTATTTTAGTTAACAAAATGTGTTTGGGGTTGGTATTTGACATCATTTGACATGGCATGTAATAGCCTGTGTCCATATCATTAAAGTATTTTACTCCCCAAAACAAAGAGGTCACATGCATATTACCTTTTGGAAATGATTTCTGGCATATGGTAACTTTTAAGCACTATCTGGGAATTGTCTGGGACAGTGTCAGTCTGTCTAGGCCAAAAATGTGCCAGGGGATATTTTTACTAATCTAACAGTTTAGACAGTTGACTTCTTTCCTCGTGTGAGTCATATGTATCCCACCTGTAACAGGGGTTTGTATGCTCCTTCAGAACATCCTCTAGAAAGCACTCTGTAGATCTAGGTTTTCGGGGCAGAGCAGAGAACAGGGCACTGATAGGGGCTAATGGAGGATTACCGCCYGAACATGTACACTCCACCCTACAAAACTGATGGAATTAGGAAAGTCTCATTTCATATTTTTCTAACAAGTCAGATCTTTTTTTTATCTGAAGTCGTTACAACAATCRTAGTAATTCTTGCTCCATAGGAGGGTTGTACTTGAAAATGATTTGTCTGAGTACAGAATTCACACAGAGGATTTGTAATTCTCACCCTAGGGAAGGTACAAGAGTATAAACACATCAAAATTTCACTGTAAGTTTTTATCATTGTGTATTAGAAAGTATTCTTTTTTGTGTGTGTGTATTTACATTTTCAGTGTTGAAAAGCTGATTGAGGTTGCGCGGCATCATATTGAAAGTTCTAGCAAAATCCAATATGAAATGATTTTAGAGGAGACAGATTTCTTCATGAACCATGATATAAAAGTATTTCCTGATCCGGTTCCTCCACCAAGACTTCCACCTGTAGAAATTTCTGAAAATGGTACTCTAACTATTTCACAACTTACTACACTTCATAAACAGTTTCTACAGATAGCACCTAAAGGTAAGAAAGAATTTTATTTTTCACACCTTTAAGACTGTCAGTTACCTAATTAAAATGTAAGATAAATGACAGGAGGTACTAAACATTAATTACTTATAAAGCTCATGTTATAATTAAAGATTATGCTACACATAGAAGCACAGTCATAATACAGAATATTGTATGTGAACTATGAAATACCAGAACCCCAGAAAGCTTTTTGTGTCTTTGCTATGTGCTTTTGTATCCTCTAGCCTATATACTTAATAATCTGTTAACAGTTTGACACGTATCTCCGTGTTTTTAAGAGCTATACATATCATGCTTACTTTAAAAGTTCTGAGTATATTTGAGACACAGATTAATTAAAATGCATGTCTTTAACTCACCTGCTAATTCAAAGCTCTGGTATGTAAGCTTATGTTGGACTTATGCTCTGATTATGGGAACATTAGGGTTAGGACATTTGAAAATAATGTCTAGCAAAAGTTAATACTGTTATATAGATACTATAAAAACTTTGGGAAAAGCGTTTCAAAAGCCACAGAAGTACACTGAAGTGAATTTGATCTTTCATTCAGAAATACTTCCCATATATGTTTATGCAAAATTTGCTTCTACCTTCTGAACAAGAATTAATATTATTCAGAAACCTGATTCCAGTTTTCCTTTACAGAGATGCATATTCTTTAATCTATAGCATAGCTGAAGAGATATTGTATATGTATAAGCATTCCAACTTATTCTACAGAAATGAAAGTAATATAGCATTGCTTATATAATGGCACACAAAGCTAAAAATTCTTATTTTTGTAATTATTAGATAGTGAATAATAGGTTTCCAAATGCGGAGACTTATGTTACAGTTTCACTGGTGGCAGATCATATCTCTCATACCAAAGACACTTCTGCAAATAATCCTTCATCAACTTAATGACAGTATGATCTTGGGATGATCTCACAAACTGGCTGGGCCTATGTTATATATTACAATTTTTATTTATAYGATGTCAATGATGCGTGCTAGGAAACCACAGGGTTGAAATGAGTGTGTAGACTCCACCAACAAAACCACAGGGCAGTCTTTCACAGATAATATCACAAGTGACAGCACAGTTATTACAGTGATGTAGCTTGCACAAGATAACTGCTTTCTCCTGAACTTATAGTGTTTCAGTATTTTCAGCTTCTTGGTCAGGCACAAATAAAAGATTCATTCTCATTTATACTGAGACAATATTTTTTTTTCTAATATATCAAAATGCTCAAATTGCAAGTGTATATATATATAAAGTAGGAGACAAATACCCTCTAACATAAGGATTTCACTGGGTCTTCCACTGGCATTTCCTAATGTGTAGGTCCCCTCTCTTGTCACTTCCTACCCCTTAGAGCAAGTATAAGAAAGGATATTATTTAAAATTAGTTCCACATTAGCATGCAGCACTATTTTTTTACTGTTTAGTTACTCTTAAATACACATATTTAACATATGAATTAAGAAGTGAARCACAAGCTGTGAAAGTGATCTTTAAAATACTTTCTTCCATTCTCCTTTACATTGTAAAATCAAATATATGACAGCATCAACTGCGCTGAGGCTGGACAAAAGCTCTAAAGGAGATCTCTCCAAAAAACAAACCAGAACAAAAATACCACTTATAAGCCGTCACGTGCAGAATTTCCAGAGAGAACTTCATTTTCTACCAAAGGCACTCTATTCTTTAAATTATTAATTGCAAGAGTAATCCTCTATTCAGAATAAAATTTCATCAGAAATTTTAACAGTASAGATTAAGGTTATGGCAAGAAATAGATATTTGCAGGCATTACCAATACAAATCTTACTCTTAATCAGACCAACACTTCTAGTTTTGAGCACAAGGGATATAGGCTTTAGGGAAAGWTTACATATTTAAATAAAATCAATCTACCAATCTCTGTACTATGTAAGTAGTAAAATTGCTAAAGTTGTTCTGAAATTGGAATAGTAGGCTGATTTTCTATTGCATTATGGGGATTGCATAAAGGGAAAATTTTATATATGTGAAATCTTTCAATTTATCTAGAAAACCAAGAAAGAAAGAAAGAAAAAAAAAGAAAAAGAAAACAGAASGAAAAATAGAAAGAGTAACAAAGGAGAGACCACTAATTCGGAGGAAACTAATGTTAACTTTTTTTCAAAGGATGTTTGCCAAATGTCAATAAGATGTCTTTTCAAAGTATGTTTGAATTGCCTAAATGAAAGACAAAACAGGAGCGCCAATTAGTTGGGGTCTTACAAAAAGTCTTCTAAAACTTCTAAACAGCATTATGTTTCCTAGGGATTTAAAGTATTAAAGAACTGCTGATGCATCATAGACACCTTTGTTCTATCCTGCACACTTGGCTCTCCATGGAGACACATCACTCACCATTCTAAGCACCGATGGACAAAAGATATGACCTGTGCTGGATCTTCCTACCTGTTGACACAGTCTTTCTTTTGATAAGGATATATTTAAATAGTTTTTTCTTTAATTATTTTGAGTGCCTTTACCCTATCCAAAGGTGGCTTTGGAATACTACTTCATTTCATTAACTTTTTCAATCATATAGCCTATCATTTATCATATCATTTAACATATAGGCTATGGAATGTCCTTTTTTTTTTAGAAGTGCATCTGTTAACACTCAATTTTTCTCTTTTCTTCATTCACTTTGGATGTGATCTACTCTTATCAACAAAATTAAACTAACTATTAGATCTCTCCTCTTCAGTTTCCTTTCAGCACTATCTTCCTATGACCACATCTGGTATCAATTAAATTAGCACAAATCTGGAATTTATCAATTGTATCTGAGAGGTGCTTCTGTCAATCCAGTTTTGGTAATTCTTTGCACAACCACATGGATCAGAATAGGTCCTAGATTTTATCATCCTTTCTATGACTAAATTACATGAGCACATTTTTAACAATCGGATCTGTGTATTCTTTTTTCCCAATCATAATCTTCACGAATCATTTCAACTTGAATTATAGATGACATTATTCATCATAAATAATCTTCAAATAAATTTTAAAGACTTCTCAGTCCAAGAGCCAATCCAATGTTTAAAATGCCTTTAAAAAAAAAAATTAGCCTGCCAARCAGAATGTCAGCTGTCCTCTGTGATTCTACTGGACCTTGTGATTCCAGATTTGTCAGCTATAGAGAGCAATCAATGACTAAATCTTATTTCTCCTCATTTTTTTATTGACTTGTAAATTTTGTTTTATTTTATTGTTGGATTTAGGTAAGTATATCAAAATGTGCATCTTGTTCCTTTGAAATTTTGCCTTTTTGTAGAATCTTTTGCGAGTGAGAAAGTATTGCACACTAAGGTCTATAGGTTATGCCGTTCCTTCTCAAGCACCTTTGTAGAGACAGTTCAAGAGCACCATAAACTCATGAACTGAGTTTGATGGGAATAGAGACTGAAGCTCACATCTGAGCATAGGAATAACTTTGCATATCCAATTATTATATTTCCTAACACTAGATTTGTTTTCAGTGTGCTTCTTTCCAAACTTGAAAAAAGAACAGCAAGGTAATTACTCTTGGTAATTTGTAAAAATGGTGCACATAACACCTCAGAGTCAGTGGTAGTCCTTAGTGAGAAATTAAGTAAATATTTACAGCGAGATTCACCTGCCGGGGATGATTTATCTCAAAAATTCGAAGGAATTAATCATACTGGGATGGCTGTTTCTTCCTTAATGGTAGCAGTATCACAGATTATTAGCTTTTAGATTACAAAAGTTGAGTAATCATCATCAATTTGAAGAGTTCATTTCACTCATTTATCCATTACAATATTGGCACTAATTCTGCTACTTTAAGTATGTAAACCTTTGTCATACAAATATCTATTTTGAAATTGCTGTGGAAATAATTTTCTCAGTGAAAATGAAGGGAAACAGGAATCTTTCAAATATTTTATTGAAATTTGTTAGAAAAGGAACAAAATGTTAATACTCACTTCTGGTTTAGATTTACAATCTCTTATTATTTTTTTGCTTGTATAATTAATAATCTGTGTTTTTCCTACATTTTGCATCAGTTTGGGCAAATTATTTCATGCAGTGTCTAGCTGCAGTCTAAAATCAAAATATTTTAATGCTGTTTCAAGATCACAGGAAAATAGACTCCTATATACTATATGTGTTGTATTTGAGACCCTGTGATTGTTGGTTATTCCTTCATGCCCGTTAAAATGCCACTGGACTGGTTCACAGGGTTTACATATAGTGTAAAATTATATCGCTATAATTCTTATTTCTTTTTATTGTAGTTTATTTTGACAGTTTAATTTTTGTCATAATCTTTATTTCTTTGACCAATATTATTTTGCATGTCATTTAATTATGTTGCTGCTGCACTGCTTATTGAAACATGTAAATATTTGTGAATATCACCTTTTGTATATTGAATTATGCCTTGAAAAATATTGTAATGGGAGACAAATCTAATTTACTGAGTCTTTTTAGCATTAGTTTTTTTTTTTCTTCATCAATGACAAGCTCTTACATGAAAAACAAGGTGCTTCATAAGCAATGATGGCTGACTGCCTTTTATCATGTGCTTACAGAGTATTACTGCAAATGCAGCCCTTTCCCTTGTTCCCAGATTCCTCCTGCTAGCAGATCTTTCCTTTCTATGTCCCTTCACCTCATTTCATGATGCTGTTGTGTTTCTGCTATGTTCTCTCACTAATTTTTTTTTTTGCTTGCGCAGTTAGGGCCGAGATGCACTGTGTGTTGTGTGTGCTCTGGACCAGAGCGTGTGCTGTCTAGTGTTTCTTGGCCACAAACAGAATGGACAAAAGCTGGAAGAGATTTGAAAGAAATTTATAGGAACTGTGTATCTGTATCCTACAGAGAAATTGGGTTGAAAATGGTTGCTGTTTGTGGGATTCTAAAATTACCTAAAATTGGTGGACAGACACATTGAGGTACAGATATTTAAGCAAAATGATTCCATAACCTTCATTTCCTCAGGTAAGCATGGTAAGAATATACTTGAGGGAGGCTTTTTAAGCATTGAAACCTGTTTCAGAGAGGTCATCATAGCTTGAAGGAGTTATAGATTTGACCTGATGATTCATGCTTCTTAGGTATGTATTTACTACTCTAATGTGCTCTGGAATGTGATCTTTCTAAAAATATATACAACTGATGACTTGTAAACACATAATGTCACAAACATATCTTCCAAGTGTTCTAACCTCGTGTTTTAAACAAAATCAAATGTGAAAATGGTTGGTAAAGTGAAGTTCAACTTCACAGAGATTCTAGTCCCTGGCAGTGGTTAATAGGTGTTGAGAGAGGGTCTGGCACCTGCTTTTCTTTCTTATCTCATCAGCAGCAGATTTCCTCTGGCTCCCATACACCTCAGGAAGCAATAGGCACAATAAGGGTGTTACAACCATTTTAACCTTTCTACCCGCTGACTTCTGCAGTTGTAGATCCTCTAATTTTTTTTTTTTCACCAATCCTTGGGTTTTTATTGCTGCCTTCTGTCAGGAAAGGGTTTTAATCTTTACTGTATGTAAAGAAAGCTTCTTCTCTATGATCTTCTGCTACTTCTTCATTGTGGTTAGGCTAGTTTCAGGAACCACATCTACGGAGTTCCTGTCTTTTCGATATCCATGTGGACCCCAGCTGCTAGCTCAAAGTAGGATGTTTTCTTACTGAGGTATCAACAGCTCCTTAAATGAATCACTAAAAATGGAATAACCCTAGTAATATTTCAACTACAGCTTCTTAACCTTTTCTAATTTTATGGCTCTTCATGACTGTTATTTTAGATTACAATGGGAACAAACACCTCTCACAAATTCTCTAATGGATATATGTGTGTATATATATGTTTATATACATACACGCAGAGACACATACACATATAAATACACATTTATATGAAAATTCACACATGCTTCTAAAATAGAATTGGGTGAAATTGAGAGTCTTTTACCTAAGAATTTTGAAAGTATCAGAAAGAAAATTACTTCCTATGATTAACTTGATGTAATTATTGATTTTGCCTCTTTGCCCTTTTGCCTCAAATGTGAAGTTGTAAACCTTTTCTCAAAGCAGTAGTGAAATCATTCTGCAGATAAATATATTTCAAGAAGATCAGATCAGCTAAGCATACTGTAGAACATCTTACTCACTCTGAAACAGGTACATTTTACCTATTTGTGCACTTGATTAAAGTAAGTTTTTCTGATAACGTTGGATGTAATGGTCATCATAAAAGGTTTGTGACCTCTGCAGTATCTTCTGGAGACATTTTGCCTGAAAGACCATTCCAAAATCTATTTCCTGCATGCTATTTCTCTTGTTCGTGAAATCATATTGGACACTTAGACTGCAGATTCTGTCAAACCTCTGGTAGTCAAAAGGAGCTTGGCGTTAAAACTGAGAATTTCCTACATGCATCCCAGGAAGCTTTCAAGTGATGAAAGAATAGATTTCAATTTTCACTGCTCCCTTTTGTGGTTGTTTATTCCAAGTCATGGTTTAGTCTGAAATTAACCACAAATATGGAAGAGAGAAGGAAAATTAAATTGGTAATTAAAGTAAATAAAAACTATTTTATATTTAAGTTTTTTCTTTTAAAATTATAGCTGTAAGAGCACTGAAGCAATTTAAAAGCAAGAGTAATTCTTCTAGCAAGAAAGAAGTTGGTGACCAAGGGAAAGTCAAGAAGGATATGGAACATCAGAGAACAAAGAGGAATCTTCAGTTTTCAAAAATATGGCTAACAAAATACTCCTGGTTAAAATATGATGATGAAAGGGGGATAATGTTCTGTGCATTGTGTCGTAAACATAATGTGGATTTGGGGGAAAACATACATAATTTTTATTCTGGCACTGATGACTTCAAGCTTGAATTTATAAATATACACCAGAGCAGTGAAGCTCATGCCTGGGCTACCTGCATGGAAGCTGCCAGCACTGCTTCACCTGATGTAGCTTCTGCTGAGCAAATGTTGAAGAGTATGAATGCCATAACATTAGGAAGAGTAGAAAATATTTTTAGGACATGCCATGCTATCGCTAAATCTGGACGTCCCTTTACAGATCTTGACTGGATGTGCAAACTAGATGACATGAAGGGAGTGGATATCGGTTCTGTATTTAGAAATGACAAGTCAGCAAGGATGTTTATACATTTTATTGCTGAAGTAGAAAGAAGGGCTTTAAAAGAGAAATTGGAGAAATGTAGATTCTTCTCTCTTATTAGCGATGGAGTCACAGACAGTATATTCAAAGCAGCTACTGTTGTTTATGTACGTTTTGCAAATGAAGGAAAAATTCATTGCCAGATTGTTGGGGTTCAACCTGTTCATAAAACTGATGCTTCAAGCATGAAAAATGCTATTGAGGAGACATTACAAATAAATCTTCAGCTTAATCTGGCGAGCCAAGACTGGTCAAGAAAACTTGTTGGATTTGGAAGTGATGGGACAGATGTCATGGTAGGAGAAAAGAATGGTGTAGCTAAACTTCTGAGAAAAATTCAGCCTTGTGTGCAGTCTGTACATTGTTTTGCTCACCGACTTCAGCTGGCTTATAAAGGAGCATTGAAAAACGTTCAATTGTATAACATCTTAAGCAGTGTCTTGAAAAATATGTATCATTTTTATCATAACTCACCTCTAAATAAGAACAATCTCAAAGCCACATATGAAGCCATTAATTTACGTCCAGCTATTCCTTCTCGCATTGGAGGCTCCCAATGGCTCACTCGTCTGCAAACAGCACTCCAAATTCTCCTTAAAGGTTATCCTGCAATTGTTCTACACCTAAGTAAGGTAACCATTTTAAAAATTGGATGTACTACTAAAAAAATCTCTATGGCTAATTTTGGCCCACCCACTTGGCAATTTTTTTCTTCTCATTAATTTCTAGATTGAAAGAGATCCAAGAGCCTCAAATCAGCAAAAAGTCAAAGGCCTTTTACAGGTCCTTCTGAAAATGGAGATAGTCAAATTCTCTCACTTTCTGTTGGATGTCATTAATGTCCTCAACATCCTGTTACGAGTTACTCTGGATCACACCTCCTCCATTGCAGATATATTTGCAACTGTGCAGTCAACCCTGGAAACACTTTGCATGTATAAAACAAGGTCTGTAATTTCTAACAACTGAGCCATGATCTAAGTTAGAATAGAGCACAAGTCTTATCTATAGTTTGCATTCTTCRTTTTCAGAGCTGGTCCAAAGGAACGCTTGATGGAGACTATTCCACACTTTCATGGTTATCAGCTTACTGGAAATGGAAATATTTTATCAGTACGAACTAAAGTCCTAAATAATTTGATGAAAAAGTTGCGTGACTGTTTTTGTGATGCAAGTCAAGAAGTTTTGAGAGCAACTACTATTGGAAGTTTTAAACAATGGCCTGACAAAATTGAACAAGGTATAGAACTAAGATGGTGGATATTTGAAGAAGTGTTTGTTCTAATTTTTTTAAAGTATAAAATATTTTCTTTTGCCTCTGTTATAGAATTTGGTGAAAAGGAAGTGTCTATCTTGACTAAACATTATGAAGTCATACTAGAAGCTGCCTCTGTGAAAATTGATGAAGTTGAAACTGAGTGGAGCATGTTGAAATTAGAGCTATATAACAGGTAATAAGAATACTGCATTTGTGTCTGTTAACTATTTAGAAGCATCTAGAGTATACTGAAAAGGATTATGGAAATGTATATAGTAACCCATAAAAACAGATTTTTTTACTGTGCTCTTTAGATTTCRGAACATCCAGTCCTTGACATGGGATTCAGTGAATTCAGATTATTCAATGAAGTATCCCAACATCCTGAGATTGGTAGATTTGATCCTAACACTACCTGCAAGTTCAGCTGAAACAGAGCGAGGCTTCAGTCAAATGAAACTTATCATGATGCATCTGCAATCTAAACTCATGTCTGAAAGTGTGACAGATCTTATGATAATTCAGATGAACTCTCCGGATATCAAAAGATTTGATCCCAAGAAAGCTATTCACCTGTGGAATACTACCTGGCAGAGAAAGAGAAGACTACAGGCAGATGATAAGATAATACATGGAAAATCAGATTGCTCCTCTGAATATGATTTGGAGAGTCACTATGGATTTGATTAGATGAAAATTCTTAGTTTTTACTTCACAATCATTCCTGTAACATATATGAATTTTTTAAAAGGATGTCTTGCAAGATTAGCAGGAGTAAAAAGACGTCTTTTTGTGTGTCTGCATATTCACTGCTGAATCATTACCTGTTTACATTTGCTCTTATACGCCCAATTTCTCCAAAAGACACAAATCAGAAGACAATGCACAAAAATAATGGAGTACAGTGTGACCTTGCTGGCACTTGGACAGATAGATGACTCATAACTTCTGATTGTTTTTTYGCTCTTCTCTGAGTCATAATACATTATATCCACTGGAGCTAACTGTTTTCTTAGTGTCAATCTTTCACTGATCTTGAAAACCCAGGTTTTATTTTGGAAAAATGGGTAGAAGATTAGCCCATTATTTCTGTCAAATGACTCTTTGACCTCTGCAGCCTTTGAGTTTTCGGTCATGGCTTCTCTCCTTATTTGTATGTCTTGCTACTTTTTATTCTATTGTGGGCAAGGTTTAACATGACCTTTACAGACTTTTGACAGTTTTCCTTCACAAAACTTTCATGCAGAGGCAGAACAGAGCCATTTTCCACTGCTGATTATTAAGTGCCCAAATCAGTCTTCTCATAGTAAATGCTCTTATAGCCAGGATATGACTAACATACTTCACAGTTTGAACCATTGCTTTTCCCTGTACAGAAAATACAATGTTGTATCATTATTCCTAGCCTGGAAGTTGAGAATGAGAACTTCAGAGAAGTTTTTGATTTCATAACTTGCCACTTTCTACTTTCTAAATGTTCTAAAAGTGACCTTCTACTTAATAATTTTCAATCAAGGAAAAGCATAGCAAGAAAGTGTATTTCTATCATCAGTGAAGGTAATAATTTCAGAAAAAAACTAAAGCAAAATCTTCTTAGTTCTGCTTCTTAGTTCTTCCAACATGAAGATGAATCGGAAATAATCGGAGAGAAAAGAATTTGAGGTTATTCACCTTAAATAAACTCTTTCTAAATGGAGATCAGTTTTGTACTTTCAGTATAAGACATATCTAGTAATTGTTGAAGATATAGTATATATATCTTTATGTATTTTATGTAATTCATACTACCTCTAGGTCAAAATAGTTGTGTGTATTGGAAATAGGTTTTTAGTAAACACCTCATTAAGATGTTTCAGTCTAGTTAAGTAGAGTTATTTTGTTGGGATCAGAATGTAAAATGAATACTGGGCATTAGATGTGTTATAATATATGCGTCTTTGAAATATATGTGATTGCTTAGATTGAAAAAAAATGTTTAGTTGTACTTTAGTTAATAAGCAAAAGGATATGTATTTTAGGGGATGCCTTMCTAGACTAGCATTGCTAATTCTGAAGATTTTCTCCTGAGTGTCATAACTACTAATATTTACGTTTGGGTTTTTCAAAAGGAAAAATTCCAACTGCAATGAGAAAATTACATGAAAAACACATGAAAAATTACATGAAAACACATCCATAAAATCCAACAGCAAAAAAAAAACAAGCAAAGTAATAAAAAAAAGCATACTGAATCTAGTAATGTTGAAGTCATATCCATGTCTGGAGCAGCATCACATTTTTGTATTGTTGTGACTGAAGATTCTGCATAGGTGGATTTTGGAAAATGCCAGAGAAATCTTAGTGTCATAAAAACAATTGGAAAGGGATTTCAAGGACTTGTATAAGTTCTGCAATGAAATAGGATCATGTTTAGTGATACTAGCTATAGCCAATATTTCTCCCTGCTTTTTACATGCTTGTAAAATATTCCACTCTAAATGTGTTTGGTTTTATTTTCCCTAGTACTGTAGTGCTCTTCTGATTATATGGCTATTTAGAGTAATTATGACCATTCTTTTTGTAATATTTTGTTTTAAGTGGAAAATTATTGCTATGTTTCCTCTCAGTCCTCCTTATATAGATGAGATTAACGTCATTCCTTCAACCTTTTCTCCTAGGCCACATTTTCTAAGCCTGTGATGAATCTTGCTGTTCTCCTCCAGGCCCTCTGTAGTTTGCATACGTTCCTTTTGATTTGCATTTTCCAAAATCACACTCCTATAGAAGTTTCAGGTTAACAAACCTGAAAAAAAGGGAAGGGTTGTTTCCAGCATCTTCCCATCAGCTTTCTGATGATACTGTTTATTCATTTAAGTTTGTGATCATCCATAATCCCTAGAGCTTTTTCTACAGAACTGTTACCTGGACAGTAAGGTTTCTGCCCTGACAACGGGCACATTCCTGATGTATTTCATTATTATGTTAGCCCCATCTAGTACTTCACATTTATTCTTCTTGACTGGTGTCCTGTTTACCTCAGGTTATATTTTCTGATTTTTCTTCCAATGTACAGTTTCATTTAGATTAAATTTCCAGGGCTTGCATGGAAAGTGTCACACAGAGAAATATCAAAAGTCTAAATACTAATTGCTAATGATTCAGAAAATAATTTAACTTAATCCAGCGACATGAAGCTTAAAGGTGGGAAATAGCTCTTGTTTCCCTTGGTTTACCCAATGGAAGTGTCATGTGATCTTCCAGGAAGTTGTTACTGCTCCAGAATTGTGAATTGCATAGAATGTGTGTATTAATAATATATTGAGCAATAATTCGAACTGGTGTCATAATAGTTTTCTCCATCTCTACTTATGCACATAGAGTTATGGAATGATACAAAATAATTCATGTTTACATTCTTGAATAAGTCTGCTTATTTATCTTAAGATATTAAAGAGTTCTGTGTGACTATCTTGGTCTTCTAATTTCTCCTTTTTATGGCACAGCTTGCTGGTTTTGAYGGCTTGCTGTCATTCAGTAAGGGCTGGATATCTTAAAAGACTTTCTCTCTTACATTATGTTTCCAAAGTGTTTGATTCCCCAGTTTTGTGGTTTTCTATGCTTTTATACATCACTTTCATTGGAATGCCACCATTTAATGGGCCTCTGTCATCCAGAAAAAAAAATAATTTTTAGACTTTCATTTGAGTGTTCTTATTAACCAGAACCTGCTTTTGGAAGATACTGCATTGTGTCTTCTTCATCTTCTTAATCAAAAGCGACACATTCTGCAAACTTAACTGTTTGTATGCTTCCTTCCTCTTTTACCAAAAAAATACATATAAACTGTGTTGTCAATATCACAGGTCCTGCTCTAGCAATGTGCTGCTTTTCTTTTTTTCTCTCCAGAAATCCCTTCTGTCCTGAATCAGAGCATGAGCATGGCACCACTTTCATTTATTTATTAAATTTATTTTGTTTTATTTACTATGCTTTATTTTTGTTTTATTTTCTACATTTCTCCTTGCTTTATTGAGTAATTCAGGCAGTACGCATGCGGTTGGACATCCAGTAAGTTTTTCTCTTTCTCCCTGATATTCCTAACATTCATACTTAGGTATCTCAGACACCTACTTCTAACTTTCAGTTACTCCTTCTTCCTTCTCTTACTTCTCCTTACTGCTGCTTCTGATTTTCCCAATTTCCTGGCTTGAAACCAGTCTTGTTATATAGACAATTCAGAATGGGAAGAATGGGATATTTCTTCCTATTCTTTTCCAGAGGATATCATTTCTTTCTACCACTTGCAGAGCCCCAGTCACTGTCACCAATGTTCTTTTCTCAGCACCAACTGGGTATCTGCCCACTTTCTTATAGCATCTCATAATGATTATGAAACACTTCTGTGGTGTTTGCATCCCCTAAAGAAAATTGATCATCTTTTGTCTTGCAATATAATGTGACATTCAAAAACAGTCCAAACTCTGTATTATTACCAAAAACATTAGACAGAATATGTAAAAATATATGTAAAAGTTATTTGATAATCTCTTTTTGAGGGGTTTCCTCTCTCCATCTGAATAATCCTCCTTCCTCCTAATGAGAAGGAAGTAGGTCTCGCAATATTTGGAATTTTTGAGCTATTACCCTTTTTTAAAGATATTTCAGAAGTCAGAAGTTCTAGGACGTAAGGTAATTTACGAAGTGACCACAAAGCACATCAACAATTTTGTAATTAATAGATAGAAGGTATTTGTAAATGACAAGAGATCTTCCTCATGCTTATCACAAAGAAAGAAACATGAGTAGGTACTGCAGAGCAGCCAAGTGCACTTAAATATCTCACAAGAATCCATCTATTTGCCACTACTTCCTGTCAACTAGACTCAAACTTATCTACAAGCTGTGTGCCAGCATGTCCTACAGTTCAATCGAAGTTCTAGAAATAGTGATTAAAGGTTTAATATACAGTCCTTTAATCCCCTTTCAATCTTTCTGGAATTTTGTACATAGAAGCAAAATACGGGTAGATTTTAAGAAGCTAGAAAATGACTACCTTCTTCATATTCAAGGTCTGGGAGGTCATATGAGGAAAACAAAGTAGGAAGTAAATATGATAAAAGCATTATGTGAGTAAAGTAGTTAACAGCTTTCCAGTAGTAAGTTGCTGAGGGCATTATTCCTGGTTTTCCCTTGTGGACAGAAGAAACAGATATTGTAGATCTATAATTTCAAATGGGAAAGGTATTATGAAATTAAGGCTCAAGCACATACTTTATATTCCTACCATTGAAATATTTTTTGCAAATTAAAAAGATCTCACTTGTTCCACTTGAAAGAAAAAGATTTCTCAAAGATATAGAATGTACATAAATACTTCTTTTTATAGGGCAAAGAATTTTGGCTGTAGTAAGAAAAATATTATACTATACTTTTACCTTCATTTAAAAGATTGCATTTTATGAGGCAACAGAATCCATGTTTGAATGGTCAGATTCATATCTAAAGTATTTCAGCAATGTTTTAACATTGTACTTGAAGCTTAAATTTTCTCTGTATGTAAAAACAAATTCATTCTTCTTTTAAAAAGGAAATTGGTTTTGTCATCAATATACTCATCATATATCTATAGATTATTTTTATTTACTGATTTATTTTAAATRATATTGATAGAGTTACTCATCATTACTTTCCACAAGCAAGATTATATGAAGCAGTTCAACTTTATTTGAAAATTTAACAGATGCCATTCTGTATCTCCCATTCTATTCTCTAACATGTACTCTAACATAAACTATAACTTGTTTCAAGGGTTGATACAGATTTATAGTTAATCTAAAATAGAGCACAGTGAAAGAACAGATTGGTAACAGTGATAAAATTCAGATGTACAGAATATGCGTGTGTTTGGTGTTTCTGAATTTCCCACTAACAACCAGTAAGGACTGTGTGGAGATGCCAACACAGTTAAAGGTAGGTATCAAAATAATTGCARTTTATCAGAATATTGAACATTTTGTAATTAAATCAGTCCCATATGATTTATTTTAGATGAGAAAAAAAATTGGTATGAAAGATATTACATCATCAATAGTGCATAATGGCAATACAAATCACTTTCCCACTTGGCCATTACAATAAAAAGATTTTCATTAACACAAGTCTATTTGAAATGGCAAATACATGTTTTTTTTACATTGAGGTTTTTTTCACTAGGTGTTAT